TACAGAATAAACTGGTATATAATGTTACCTCCGGCTTAGGACTCTTTTAGGCTTTTTTTAGGTGGTAGAGCCTAGCTGTAGTCAGTTACTACAGCTCGAACATGGGCTGGCTCGACCTGGGAAGTACCACCCTCTCACAGAAGATCGGCGTGAAGTAGCCTTTAATGGCTGCGTTTCGTCCGATGAGTGAGAGAGCCGGTTGCCTTTTCCCTATTCCCACCCCTCCCTATCCCTACAAAATAAGGTTGGCAATGCATCCGCAACATAGATGTTGCGGATGTCCATGGGCGACGGTAACCACCTTCCATCAAGTGGGCCGTCTGCTCGTTTGCCACCTTTAACATAAAAAAAAACTCTTCAACTTTCTATGTTCTTCTATCCTTCCTAAACTTTTTAAACCTAGTTAGAGTTAAGTACAAGCCTATAGTAGCTGTCCTCTCGGTATTCTTAAGGATATATTTTGACTTTACATTCCCTGTATTATTGTAGTAACCCTTCTTCACATCCGGACGAAGCTATAAACTGTCTCCTTCCTCATGCATACATTAAGGGGTTGGAACAATTTACTTGTGCCCTCATTTCATATCATGTAAGATTTCAATTTCTTCAAAATAAAATACTGGTGTAGATGTAGGACGTTTCTAAGGTTACATTTCGGTACTTATTGACAAATATATAAATATTTTAATTATCAACCTAACTTATAATTATCACGTAATTTATTCATTAAAAATTCTATTTTTTTCCTTTTTGTCTCATTGATAAAAAATATAGATATTTTATTAATCTTTATATTTATGTACTTTATCTGTATGTAATTTAAATTTTAATAACTTTTTTGTCTTTATATTACATTTCCACGAATGATATGGCAGAAGAGTCTTAGGTAATTTATGATTTACATTTACAATTGGACAATTGTCACCAAGTGCAAAATAATGTAATATTCTCATGTCTTTATAGTATGTAATATATGAAATGCCAAGCGTATTAAAGTACTAAACCAATTTTCCTTATCTATAGTCTAGAATTTAGAAGAAGAGTATAAGTTGTAGTTTAAATGCATTTGTAAAAATAATGAAATTAAATTTTAATGACATTACAACCACTTACTTCGATGACTGAGACTTCCAGACATATAATATTGTTAGTAAGTCAGATTTGTGATAATTATAGTAATTTAAGTTTAATTATATTATATATATTTTTTATTACTGGTCTTACAAATTTAAAAAGTTGTGAATTTTGCTAAGCGTTATAAGCGAAAAAAATATATCAATTATATGTCAAGGTATAGCAAGTGCATTTCTAAATAATCAGTCTCAATTATAAAACATTTGAAGTCAATAATACACTACCACAATTTTAAAAGCCTTCTGCGTCATTTCAAATGAAATAAAGAGAATAAATTAAATTTATACCTAATGGATTATTTGATACGACATGGTTGCTTTGTAAGGATATCTGTTAAACGTTAGGTAGAATATTTTTCAAATTAATTAATTTTCAATAAAAGTGGCACTTTAATGAATAGAGAAGAAAAGTAAGATCGAAGACAAGATAGATGACATGTGAAAAGGATCTTAAAATTAACGGGATAAGGGATGAAAGATTAAGTGACGAGTGACAGAGATGTATGGAAACGGAAAATATATTACACTGACTTCAAAAAGTTTGGAATCCAAAAAGACAAAACTACAATGTTTTTACTTTTTAATAATAATAATTTAATAGTTACTATCCCGCCCAATCTTAAAGCATCACTTCAAGTAATATCCCGGGAGAAAAACAAAATAAAAATTTGATTCATTTTTTACATTTTTACATTAGAAGCCACATTATATTGAAATATTTAAAATACTTGGTTTCAGTCGAGATAGTTGTCAAACCTAGAAAGTAAATGTCTTATTCATAGTCAGTCCCTTTGTCAAATATATTTGCTCTTATCATGTCTGCCACGTCTTGCGTAAACTTTTCATGTCATGTTCTTACATTTGTACTTTCATTATGTTAAAGTACCCCCCAGAGTTGACTGGTCGTAAGTAAATAAGTCAAATTATTACAACGGGCACATTTCTTGCCAAGTTTTAGGTACTAAAATTGTCAATTTTAAACTAATACAATCTGGTGTATACTTTTTATTAATTATTATACCTGTCTTTGCGTTTAAACTTTTTTGTTAAATTAAATAAAATGTACACTAGCTTATCGTATTTTATGAAATATCTTCAATGTTTGGCTATTAATGCGTACTTGTATACTATTAATACAATTATAAATTATTTATATTAGATATTTGTAATATTAGCAAAAATACAGATATCAAATGTTACTAGACAGTAAACTAACTACGTATTATGAGTTTTAAAACTTAGTTTTTTCTTTGTTCAGCTATGACGATAATATCCTTTCAGATCTTTTATAATTTTTGTAACCCTTGGTTCTGACACCTCATTTAATCTTTAAATTTTATACGAACTGTTTTCGACTGAAATATGCAAATGAATTCCTGTAATTTTTCAATTACTTCCAAACTTTTTACATTTAAGTGCTTTTTATAAAATACATTTTTTATTTATTTATACAGTTTCCTGTAATAAATAAGGGTATAAATTAATACTATGAGGAATTCATTTGTTAATTAATTTTCAATTTTGATGTGAATTTAATAAATGTTTATATGTCAACTGTCAAGTTTGTGACAACTTTTAGTATAATACAACGATAAACAATTATTATTATGTGTTATTATACTTTTTGATATATATAAATTAAGTATATTATATTAATTTACTTTTTGATACTATATTCGATAAAGTATTCAGTTACAGGCTTTGGGAAATATATTTGAAATTGAGCTCCAGATTTCGCTTTCAATAAACAATTTTATTTATTACCAATGATTCATTAGAAAGATCACTTCCTTTAATGTATTTCTAAATAACTTAAACCCATAATATTTAACACATATTAGTAACTGGTATATTATTTTACATAATATCCTCTTCACTTAAAACAATAGCTTTTTAATTACAAATACTCAATAAATAGTAAATGTTAAACATTGTTAATGTAATTATAATTAGAGACTCGTTAATTCTGAATAACTTTATACAATCACAACGTAATTTAAAAAATTACAGTTTAATTTAAATATGATGTCAATTGGATAAAACATTTAATCCGGAGATAAATTTATTATCGGTTTTCCAAATTTTATTGTATTTTTTTCTTCATAATAAGACAGGCGTTACATCTCGTTTTACTAATTGACAGTGATCTATATTGGGGAAAAATCTCATACAACACTTTTGCATAATCCTATTTTATAAACCAAGTTGAATGTGGCATGAAAATTTTTTTATAATATACTTATTTTTCATTAAAAGTGCATATTACTAAGAACTAATACCTGAAAAAGTGGTATCATTAAGATATGACATTATATACTTATATCATGTGATATCTATGTACTACATAATTGAGTCACTAACTAGCTTGAAATATATCAATAGTATCGTGCATGGCTTTGTCAATTTCGAGAAGTATAGAATTTGTCCAGTATAAGAACATTGTATACTAATTATTTCATATAATTTGATGGCGACTCTATCACCAACCATCGGTCATCGAGTTAATGGTACCACACCCATAACGAACATAACAAAAATATAGAGTATAAACTATAAGATTAAAGAATATGGCGTGGTCGTTTATAAAGTGGTTACAAAAACCATACCCACCTTTTGTAAGTTAGACATTCTAACCAATTCCGTTCCTTTTTCGTATTCTGGAGTCAGGGAGATTCCTAGGTATATTAGCTTAAGTAATCTTAACAACACCGAAACCTTATATCCATCTATCGGATTGAAATATGTAAATTAATTCTTGTGTAAACGACTGCAGAACGATAATTAATTAATCACGTACTGTAAACGTGACCAATTTTTGCGTTTGTATTACTTGTTGTTAGAGGTCTGAAATATTTTCTAATATTTTGATTTTTAATATTTATATATTACAATCTAATCAAAAAATATAACTCAACATGTTAACTCTCTGTTATTGTTATTATTCTTATTATAAGATAAATTAAATAATAATAATATTTAAATACTTCAAAAGATACATACGCTATACTAGATGAAACAGTGATATTATTGGTCTCATCGCGTGCAAAATAAATTTCTAGATGTTTTACGAACAAACATAAAATTACTGTACGATAGTACCGATGACAGTTTATTTCTATTTGAACAAGTTGTTTTAGTATGTTAAGTTGATTCTTCTGAGAATGTGGAATGTATAAATCCAGGTCATATACAACTTGTGGTTTGATAACTTTTGTAAAAATCTTTAAAAAGACTGAATGTATATTCTTCACCGTTATATTTTTGTCTCAGATGTGTTTAACTCCACAAAACAGTGGATAGATTCATGCATATGTTTCATAGCACCAAAAAACATGACGTTAACTTAATCTAAACGTAAGATATGTACAAATTATTATCATTATATATTTTTGTTGGAATAGTTTAATTTTAAACAAAAGTCAAAACTTTTATTTGAGTAGAAGTAAATGTCCTAGGGAGTAAAATTTATTGATGAAAATAAATTAGAAGACCAAAAAAATCTTAAATTGTCATCTTGATTGTCAGTATAGAAAGTTTGACTCTGATATATCTAATATACATACGTTTTAAATGGAATGATAAGACAGCAGAATATATTTAGCTCGCACTATCATACATTTATACACTTACATTGGCTAATTAGAACTCGAGTAACGAAGTCAGTCAGAGATTGATGAAAAGGGGCTCAGATCTATTTCATTCTAAGGTTGGGTCACCTTACGAACATGAATGGCTAATCTCATAACAATATTTTTACTTACATAGATTTTTATACTTATTTTAATTAAATAAACAAAAACATAGTTCTTTACTTTATATTACTTTCTGTCTAGTTTGTAATTCTTTTTCGCAGATATATTTTCAAGGATGTGGCTCTTCCCATTCAAAAACCGTACCGGGACAGATCATGATGTCAACCCTCCCATAGTGGCGACTCCAGACAGAACAGATCCTGTACCAGTCTTGTCGCAGATTAACAATCTTATGCCAAGAAAAAGAGGTTTAATTGTGGGTATAATCTACAGTTATTAAGAACCTTATATAGTTTAAAATAACGTATTTTAACATAAAGCTTTAAAGTGCAATTAGTTGCACTTGTAATAAAATAAGGTCATGGCCTTTTGTGAATTTTGAGATAGTTTAATGCTTCAATTTGAGATGCTTTTTTGACCTTTATAGAGTAAATCCATCATGATTTCTAATGAAATTAATAAAATTTACTAAGTCTGTGTCACATAATTTAGTTTTTCATATTTATTGTGAGATTAAAATTGAGTTGTTAGCTAAATTACGTTAAGTGTGTAAGTTGGAACAAATTTTTGAAACAAAAGATAAGATGAATTCTCTTAAGAAATATCTAAAACAGCTTTTCAATAATATCGGACATATATCCGATAAACGAAAATAGGAAAATCTCGTAGAAAAACTACTTAAGCACTACTTAAGCACATTTTGTGCTTAAGCTTTTCACTTTAAAATTTTCCTATTGTTAGATTTGTTTAACTTACAAATACCTTTTATTGTATATTTAGGCGGGAATAATATAGTCTGTATAATAAGAAGTAAAATAAAAGGTTCTATTGTAGTAATTGATTCTGAGAAGTAAGCCGACGAAATTAAGGTTAAATGAAAGCTTTTCTTACCAAAGCTACTTTAACTGTCAGCGGTTGTCTTGGCTCAGGAAAAGAGTATTCATAGTTTTATATACAAAAGTTATTAAAATTAAGAAAATAATAATAATATTCAGTAGAGGACTGATTGTGACTGATGATTTATGATATAGGATGATGAATTATTTACAATTAATAGTCTATGAAAAATGTTTTAGAAAATATTATTATTAGTTTTGAGAACATTTATTTGAAAATCAATTCATAAATTAAAAAGATTTTATTATTTTAGCAGCAGGATTTTCACCATATAAATTATGTTTTACTTTCAAATATGTCTTTCAAGTTTATTCTATTATGTCTTAACAATGTGATCTAAAAGTATGAAATGAATGTACCGTATGTTTTGAACAAGGTAATATTGTGTTTAACATTTTTACGTTAACTTCTGTATTTGCTTTTTATTAATAATAACGTTCATTTAAAAAAAGCGTAGTAGATATAAATGTAGACATACACAAGTATCTGCTTGTATTGCACTGCAACATATTTCAAATTCTAAAATTCCTCTGTTGACGTTTTAGCAGTGTATTTTAATAATATTTAGGCACGTAATATTGACCCTTTTTCTTGTGGTATAGTTTTTAAATATATGTCGTTAGATAAAAATTTCTAAATGTGATTATTGCGATTTGGAAATGTGTATAATTTCCTTTAATTTATTCCTAATCGAATCCAACCAGTCAATTAGTATGCAAGTTTCGTGTCTTTAGTTTCATGAGCAGATTAAGCGCAAAGAAAATGTTCATTATGGAACTGCATTTTGTTATGTGAGAAGCTTGTTAAACAATATCGCTTTCATCTTTGTCCACCTTGTTATTCTACGACATAGTTCTACCTAGTTCTATCTAGTTACAATTTATATAATCACGAGGTGATTTCAGTACTGAAAAATGATAAATTAATAATAAATAATATATTATTTATTATTAATGGATTATAATCCATACTAAATATTGCTTACTGTCGCTAAGTCTTGATTTTTTTTCATCTCAATGACGAAACCTGTTTTATATATCTATGATTAATTTCGAAACGTTTAATATATTTTAATAGCTCTGATTTGAGAACAAATAAAATATGATAAAAGATAAAACTAGCTTTTTCTTTTTACTGCATTGAACATTTTTTTTTTGTAAAATAAAAAGTCATCATTTCTAGTTTATTGTGTTTGTAAAAAAAAACTAGACAAACCGCAAAAATATATAATTTAAAATTATTAGTGTCAAATTTCGTTTAACACAAATAAGAAGAATATTAATAAAATTTTGTGTGCCACTGGTTTTCCTCTATTTTATTTGAGACAATGTCTGAATATGTAAAAAAATACTTAAATAATATGTATCTCAGAGTACCATCATCTGAATAAATAACGTATAATGGCCCACTTGTTTTGTACAAGTTCTTAAGCACTTTAACTTAAGTACTATTAATCTGAATTGATCGAAAAGAAAAGAAAAAACTAAACAAATAACTACCTTTTAACTGAGATGTAATATAATAATAGGGACATGTATATAGTAATTTATAATAGTATATTGATATCCAAATATTGTGTTGTTTCTTAAAGGCTTGGCTCTGGTCTGTGACGGGCCGACACCGAGAACCCAGGATGAAGACGGATCCTGGTGGAGAGTTGCAGGTGATGCTGCCACATCGGATTCAGGACAGAATAACCTCCGGCGATATTTGTCTAATGTCCGACAGTCCATATCGAATACACAAAGTAAGTGCTGTAGATATTATATGTATTTAACAACTATCATTTCAGATTACAGATTTTAAAACTATCGCTAATCAACCGATCGATGAATAGATTCAAATAAACTACTACTATCTACTACAAACATCATTTTCCCATTTAGTACTTATTTTTGTTTTCCGTATCCTTATCTTGAGCTTAAATTTGATATCATAATGAATATTTAACAATATAGAATGACATGGTATTTTAGAAGCAAAATCCAACACCCTCGAAATGTCTGAAACGTGTATTTTAAATACTTCAGACAATTTGAATCTATAAGTATAAAAACGTAAATTCGATACAGCCCTCATCTTGTGTTTTATTTATATTGTTCATTTAATAAATAGTGTTAAATTTCTTCAATGTATAAATTAATTTGTTTAATAATAATTTGAACACAAATTATTATAATTCTCTATAAGTTTCTAATTTAACTATCAAACACACTTGTAAGATTAATTAATTGATGAATTTCTGACTTAATTAATTTTATAGAAATGAATGTATCGGGAACGTGTTTTCTGCTGTTATGTAAAATATTTATGTCAAACATTAATCTGTATAGCGTGTCAGAATCTGGATATCAAGATAGGGCCTTTCAGAAATATATTTTTTCTGTACCATTTTCTTTAAGTGACACAATATTTACAGTTAGTATTTCTGTTGAAGTATGTTATACATAATATTTTTAATATTTATTACGTAAATATTATTTTTAAAAGCATAATTAATTAGCAGGTTTGGAGACTTAAAAACATACGTGAACAACTTTGCTAGAAAACAGATCTAACGTCCTAAGAAGAAAAAGTTCCTGTAATTCGATCACATACATAAGTATATATAGTTTACAAGGAAATTAAAATACATAGAAAGAAAAATAAACTATAGGTTTGACTATGGTCTCGTAATTGACGACTTGTAGTTTTAAATATTCTTGTGTAAGAAAAAGTTTCAATTATATGAGTTGTACAATTAAAATGAAGAGTTAAATGGGGTGTAAGAGTTGTCGGTATAAAATAAAGTGCGTCTTTTACGATTAAGAGTAAGTATTAAAAAGTTCTTCTAATTCAAAATTTGTTTTACAAATTACATAATGTATATGTCAAGCAGTTCATTAAGTAAATTAATTGAAAAATAATTGAAAAAAAAATTAAATATGTTAATGAAGGCAGCTGTATACACGTGCTATTTGATTTTATAAGCAATAATTTTTGTATTAAAATATTGTCTTAAAAAAAACGGAATCGCATTTCGTTTATAATTATCGACTCAATAGAGATGATACAGTTTTATTAAGTTGATATATAATATTCAGCGATATCCTACTATAACATTTGATGCTTCTTAAGTTTCACAGTATATTACGCTAACTAAATTAATTTAACAAAGAGCAATATTTCACCATTCATCAATTGTTAGATATTAAATAGACAATGTAAAATAATTGTAATTAACAATTTTTATGGTTTTTTATACATAGTGCTTAAGTGCATAATGTCAACAAAGGTATAATGGGGTAATATCATTTTATGATCGGAAGATAAAAGCACTCAAATGTCTATACACCTTTTAACTGTCATATCTATTGGCAGAAAGTGAGTACATATTGGAGTGTAATGGCGTCCAACTATAATCTTTACGTAAATAATGTTTCTATTTCGGCGAGCTAATACATGTCCATGTCTGCCAGTGATGCCAACATTTTTACACAAGGTATTTATATATTGTTTTGATTTTCTTAAACAGAGAATCTTATACAATAACTTTTTTTTTGTATACTAGTCTTTTTTTCGTAGCAATATATTAAGCAAACAGTAGATTAAGACAAGCAACTAAAATAAAACAAAAAAAGTTAAGTTGTGTTACTTATTAGGCTAAATAAATATACTTCTCTTATATTTCTTGTGTTAATAGAAATATGTCGTCTTTTAATATATATATATTAAATATAATTTATTCAACCTCTTTAGGATATTTTTACAATCTATAATATATAACATATCTTTATTCAATATTTTATAACAAATCTGTGTTTATACATATGCTTCCAGAGGACACTAACATTCATTGTTAGGAACCGTTTTTTATTTGTCAATATAATAATATAAACCACGACGTAGGTTATTTTACTCGTGGTAGGATCTTAGCAAATGAAGAATAATACGTAGAAAACATAAATCTAGAGCAAAGAACACTGGTATTTATCAACTGTAAGAAATTAGTTGAGAGAACGAGATGATATTTACAGCTTAAGAGATAAATCTTTTGTTTTTTTTTTATTATCTTTAATCAAAATGAATAACTCTTAAGTATGTACATAGATGAATGCAGTTGAATTGTATAATATAGAAAAATATTGAAAATGAATTATTTAATCCATTTTTAAAAAAAAAACAATTGTAAGTGAAATTTCACCTTCCTTTTAAAATATAAGAAATCTTCAAAAATAACTAAATTATGCCTTAATACGCTTAGAACTTCGCACAAGAGTTTTAGATTAATCGAGAAACCTTTTTGATTTAATAAAATAAAGTAAATTAGCAGTTTAATTAAATTTATCGTGGTACGAATTTAATATATACAAAAAAAATTGACACAACAATTTGTACTTACATCAAAGTTTCAGAAACTACTAGTATTTAGCAAAAATCGATATAACCACGCGATATGTGCATGCAGGAAATATGTTTTTATCTTCAAGCGCCATCTTGTGTAATTATAAAATATTAGTGTGCCGGTTGATTGGATAAAACTATTACTTTTAAAAAATGACCTTTGGTAACATTTTAAAAATTAACTTTATAATTTGATTCTACATTATGAAACATGGCATTAGTTTTTTCTTATGTTGTTTTTCTTATTGCATACATCAAAAAAGATAAATTAGTTTACAACCTTAACTGGGTATTATATTCTTGTTTCAATCCTCAAGTCATAAAAAGTCTTTCGAGTAGGTACATGACCATACTATTAAAAAGGAATTAGGGTATATTTGTTTTAAATGAACCTAATATTTTTCGGATACTACGCGGTTTATTTTTGTGAAATTACATACTGACGACGTTTCGGCTTCTTTTCAGCAACTGTCATCACGGACAGACGAGACGACATCTCGTAGTAAACCACGTTATATATCCGAAAATATTAGTTGCATTTAAATGAATAAAACTCGCGAAAATCTTAGATCTCATTAGGATATATTTAATGTAATCAATAAATGGTAATAATGGCCTCTTTGTATTTATTTAATTTTAACTTTAAGGAGTTACTGTGTTCGTAGGTCCTCCTTTTGTCGTGTACAGAGTTGGATGAAATTGTTTATTGTATGCTTAAGGATTCATAAGTAAAGTCTAATACAACTAAGATTCCTGAAGTTAACGGAGATAAAAAAACATTATTTAATGGATTTACAAGTACATGATCAACAATGAAAATTATTTCAACTTTGCCAAAAATTTTCAAATATTCCCTCTCCCTTTAGATTACTGAAGAAACCTTAAACGAGCAAATAATTAAGTTCCCTATTTTTCCTATTAGTTCTTCCTCGGTTCATTTTGTTGAATGTTATGGAAAATTATAATTCGATGTTTTATTTTTTCATGAAAAAATAAAAATGAACAACTTCTTCAAATTTATTTATTAAAGATTAAAAAATTAAGTACTAAATAATTGTAATTTCAATTATCCAAATAAAATAATATTTTTTAACTATCTTATGGAAAATATAGATTCCATCGTTTTATTTAGAAAAATGTTCAAACTAAAATTTTCAGTCAATTTAGAAGATTTTTGTTCCTGAGCCAGTGGCGTAGAGAACACTCAAATACATAAGCTAGAAATTTGATTTTGATGAAGTGGCTTTATGTTAACGAAAACAACAATATTGAAAGAAGTTAAATAAAGGCTTGTAGTAACAGGTTTTTTATCTTGTAATATGTCACGTTCTGTTATAATAGTAGAGTTAAATGCTTTATATCTATTTGAAATACTGGTTATTTCATCACATTGTAGAATGTCATAAAATTCGTTTAAAATATGTATTTCTACATGAGCTGGAAAGACGCGGTCGGAAAGTTCAGAGAAAAAATTTTGCTCACAGACGAACTTTTTGTAAAATTATTACAAGACATAAATACAAAAAAAAAATGGTTAATAATTCTAACACTATTTGACCCTTAGCGCCAAATCACAATTTTTAAGTTAAATTTAAAATTCTTTATATTTCTAACAAGTCACATAAATTTTGGAATACTCGTAGATATGTCATTTAACATACCTATATAATTATGAACAACGAACATAATTTTTGAATATATTTCTTAATAAAAACCAAATACTGTCGAAGTATATACTGTAAAAATATATAAATACAAAAAGCTCTATATTACTTTTAATATGTGGTTATTACTTATTAGTGGTTTTATAAGTAAATTAATTCAAATACTCCTACTTCAATTCATCTCAGGTAAATAGAAAACAAAAAGGACTATCCTTTCAGGATTTAATTAAAATGAGACGTTTGTTAGCTTTTCTTGCTTACTTTCCGCATACGATTACCTAACACACTATTATAATATACATAGTCATATCAGTAAAAGTTTTATAATAATATTTAATTGAAGTTTTCTGCACCTGTTAAATCGCTTCATGCAAAAAATAGTATATTCTTAAAATGTACTAAAAGCTTAAATAGAATATAATTGAAACAGAATATTATAAAAAATATCCTACAAAGAACATTTGGAATAACTACTAAAATGGTTTTGGATGATGCGATGAATAATTCAATGAATTAATACATATTAAAACTTCTGGCTCACAATTAATTCAATTTATATAATTAGAGAAAGTACATACATAATAAAATATTAATTTTTATCCTATTGGGATATTACTAATTTTTTTATGCATTTTTATAAACGAAATTATGCTAATAAAAATACATAGCATTTTTCCTTTAAAGCATGGGCAACTAAAAAGACAATTATAAAAGGAAAATTTACTACATAAATTTTCTTAATTATTTCTGTTTTCAAGATATTATAGATTACCTTTGCCACAAAGCTTTAATAACACTATTGAATTAGCCTTTCATCCGGCGATTTGCCCTCCTGCGGGATATTACATTCCTCAGTTACTCACAGGACGCCTTGCGGACCGGACGCAATTCTGACACACCAAGTTTTTAATGTTATGAAACTTTATTTGATAATCTATTTATATTGATAGATTGATTGATGTGACTGCTAAATAATAATAATGGGTTCATTTACGTATACTAGACGGAACGTCTTAAGTTTAAAACATGGCGCTAAAAGGCTACCGCGCAATTGGTCAAAACTATTCGGCTTGACGCCAAAGTTTCCCATTGAGGAATTGTTTTTGGTAAGTATCTGTTAAGAGTAACTTGATTATGAATTAAGCATTATATTTACAATTTTTTTATTTCTAATTTTCAATTACTTTTAGGTTTAAAGTGTCAGGTTGTACTTTAATAATAACATTTGAATAAGATAAACAGTTGTAGAAATTATTTATCTTTTTTATATAATTCTCCACACAATTTTAATTATTTTTTTCAACTTCTCTTCGTTTAGTGTTCAACTGTGTTCTTTACGTATTTTCTACATATTTCAGGCCATTTTTTGTATTCTTTAACAGTTTTTTAAATATTAATTGAAATATAAATCCAACAGACCAATGATTTAAATAATTCTAAAAAGAAATTGGATAATGATATGAAACTAAAGGTAATAATAATACAACATTATTTCTTTTCTCGTTATGGCTTCTTGAGATAAGAATTAAAATTGTAAAAAAATATACATATATGTTGTGTAGTAGACTAAATTCTGGGTAATATATTATTCATGTCCAAATGGTGATAAGAGAGACATACCCAACACTTAAAAAAAAAATAAACAACAGGAAAAATATACATTTGATTACTACAAAAATAATGTATTTTAAATTTGGTCTGAATATATTAATATGTTTGTAAACTATTCATCTTAATATTAGAATGAATCAAAACTCTTTAAAAATAACTGTTATAGTTAATTACTTTTTGTTTTATGTTTTTAATATCAGTTTTTTTTACCATAATAGACAATAGTTATCTAAAATTATTTTGTCTCAATTATTTTATGGCAGAATAAAATATATTTAACTTGTAATTAAAAGACTTTTTGTCATTAGTTGAAGAATGAATGAAAAAAAATTGGCGTCTTCTTACAGTATTTTTTACGACTCAAAGTACCCTGAAAAGTCTGTGATGTATCATAAAATATGTTATATTAGTAGTGACACATCAAGTTATGAGAAAAATGATTGCTTCCACTTTATGAGAACCATATTTTGCATTTTTAACGTTTATATATTAAAGTTACTCGTGTAAGAAGATTATCTTTTTTTAAACAACATTTTCTTGTAATGTCTTTCCATTTTCATTGTTATTGAGTGGTAACTTTAATTTATCTTATTGAATACTAGAAATAATCTTATTTACTTTAGTAAATCTTATTTCACCAGGAAGAAGAAACTTAAGCGTATTAACGATTTATAGATATAATATAATTATTCACTCTTTTATCACAATTTTTCTAAATGTATAAAATAATTTTTAAAAGATATTTGTAAATAATAATTAGTAAGTTTTAGAATTGATTTATTCTTAATTCACCAAAATTTTATTTTCACTTTAATAGTTTTATTATAAAAACGTATAGCCAAAATATCTTTGTAATAAATCTTTGCGTCACTCTCTACTGATTTTACTTTGATATTTAGTAAAGTTATTCAAGATACCAATTGCTGGAAGGACTTAAATTTCATTGCTGCTTGGATAAAACACTTCTTGAGAACTAGTGTAATAAGAACAAAGAGAAAGCGGATCAAGGTTAAAAACTTCTTGAACACACTATCAATATTTTAAATAAAGATAATTTTTAAGATAATACTGGTGGTGCGACGAGTTACTGACTAATACACGAATTTGATAAGCACCTGAGCTTGGTATAACAAAAAGGACTAGTTCGGAACCAAATCCTGCTTTGCTGAACTCAAGATGTCAAGAGTTTTGGTAACTAAGATGTTAATGCATATTGTGCGTATAAACTTGTTTATCGGAACATGAAAACCTCTGAAAGTGGACAAATTCCTTTAAACAAATAATGTAAACTTTTTCGTCTCGTTACTCGTAGCATTAAATTTGACTATATGGTTCGCTCAGGAGATAGATAGATATATTATAGGACGACGTTAACGAAACAAATACATTGAATGCACTTCTTTCTGTTGTTTAGAAATTCCATGAGTGGTTTAGAGATTCTATTGCCCTAAAGATATTTCGAGAACAAGAGGATATATGTACACAACCTGAAAAAACTATATTTTTCTTTAATTATTATACATAAACATTTTCATCATATATTGTAAATTTATTCATAAGTATTAAATAGTACTTCAAAACTGTTGCATACACAAAAACTTATTATTTTGATGCTGTTCCAATTAACAAATCCCAATGAACTTTTAATTAAGTCTTTGGATAAGATATGTACATTTACATATCTATATTATTATAAGTAAAGCTTTATTACACTTTATATTGTTTAGGCGGCCGAAAGTGGAAATGTGGAAGATTTTATGCGTCTATACCTAACGGAACCATCCCGACTATCCGTCCGCGACTCTAATGGCCGGACTGCAGCTCATCAAGCAGCTGCTAAAAACCATACAAACATCTTGCACTCCATTAATAAATACGGTGGAGGTAAATATTATATTGATAATATTACAATTTTCTAATATCTCATGACTGAAATATAATTTACAGTACTATATCATTTTATTCTACTAAATACGATACATTTATCGGCGTGATATGGTCACTTCTTTTGGCCTTAATTGCATAGGTACTAATTTCAAAAATCATTTTTGTAATAGTAAACTTCTAATGAAATATATAAGTAGATGAGACTCTATTCAATACAAAAACAACTATTCAAAAGTAAAGAAAGCATGTCTAATATTTAAGAAACTAAAAATTTTATAAACGGTTTTTAGCATTAGATATAGCCGACAACGCTGGAAATACGCCGCTTCACTTAGCAGTAGAAAATGAGTCACTAGATGCCATAGATTTTCTACTTCAGCAGTAAGTAACTTTCTTGTTGAGATTAAGAGCTCTACACTTTATAGAGTAACAACTATTAAAATTCAAAAAAGACATCTCCGTTATATGACACTCTCTCAGCTATGAAATACGAACGAAAGCTTTTGACTAAGTAGAGTCACTGCAGTCTCGAAGAAACTTGAAGGTTATGTTTGAAATGATAACCTTGGTTCAAATATTAAATATCGTTAGAGAACTCAATCCACACCAGAGATCTTGAAACTTACTTGATTGAAATGTTATAAATTGTTGGCATTGATATATGTATGTATATTATTATATCTAAGATAATAAAAAATCTTTTTTATTCATTAGTTATTAATTAAATATATATTAAATTCAAAATTTATAACATATTGACATGAAATTTATGAATAAGATCAAATGAGGAAGGTTCTTTATAAAAGTGAATTTTATATAAGAAGTGGATATTATTGTACTAAAAGCAATTATCCAATAAAATACCAATTTTAATGATAGCTTCTTGTTTTTAGGTAACTTTACAGAACAATCATTCTGAATTCCTCTTTATAATCTAATATAAATTTTTCATACTAAGGACATTTATATTCGTATGCTAGTCTATTATACATATAATCATTACGTTATTTATATTTCAAAAGTTTAAAAATTAATAACACTTGAATATTTTAATTTTTAGGAATGTTGACACTTCCAGTTTAAATGAGAAACGTCAGGCACCCATCCATTTAGCAACAGAATTAAACAAAGTAAGTAGAACTACCAGATGTTATTAGTTTTATATTTAATTTTGTTCTCTTTATATAAAAATCTGCCATCCTCAAACTCATATCGTCATATTGAAGTGTATAAAATAAATTTCTAAGCTTTCAGTATATGAATTTTCTCATATCCTTAGCAACTTGTCTCTCATCATAATATTCCCGAGTTCTGATGCATTTATTTTTTAAAAGACATGGTAACATGTGTTAGATAAATAAAAATTATTCATATGAACTATGACTGTAATTAATTTACTATAATATAATTAATTATACTCTCTTGTATCGTTTTTAGCCTTTTTTAGTTGAAGGTTTTTCACCCGACTGATCCTTAAACTTCAGTTCACTACATCTCGTATTTATTAGTCTTTTCCAACTTTTATACATTTTAAGTTTTATAAACACACAAATAAATAGCAGTCCTCACTTTGAAAAATATAGTCGTGTAAAAAATTATATGTTTGTTGTTATGTTTTCTTCAAAAGTCAACAGGCTTCGTAAATAATTCACAATTAATATTATTCCGAATTTCTTTCGAAATGGCTTCACTGTGAATTGCAGTTACCTATTAATTATTTCTTATTTTATTTTCTTTAAGGTATCTGTACTAAAAGTTTTTGTAAAACATAAAACTAAGTTTGACGTTGATATCGAGGGAGAACATGGTCGCACAGCTTTACATTTCGCTGCTATTCACGACCACGATATGTGTGCCAGAATATTGGTAAATACGTCAACCTTATGAAATTATTTTGAATTTACATTTATATATTTTTTAAATTCTTTAAATTTAAATTTGTGCTATGATTGTAATTGGCCAATAAAATCCTTTTATATGAAAAGAACTTTAGAATAATAATTATTAATTACTGAATAATATACTTTTACAAACATCTTTTAGATTTCTGAATTGGGGGCACAATGTAAACTTCAATGTAACAATGGCTACTATCCTATTCATGAAGCTGCAAAGAATGCTTCCTCTCGGACTATGGAAGTCTTTCTTCAATGGGGTGAATCTGAAGGTTGTACAAGGGAAAAGATGATGTCTTTACATGACAATGAAGGCAACGTTCCTCTTCATTCTGCAGTACATGGAGGTGACATCAGAGCTGTCGAACTATGTTTGAGGTCTGGTGCTAAGATATCAGAACAACAATACGATTTTTCCACGCCCGTACATCTAGCCTGTGCTCAGGTGATAATGTGTACTTTAATTAAAGTAATGAGATATAAATAGCTTCAAATTAATTATTTTAAGAATGGTAATATGTAAAAAAAATTAATGATAAAATACATGACTTACAGGGTGCTTTAGAAATAGTAAAGTTGATGTTTACAATGCAACCAGAAGAGAAAATGGCATGTTTGATGTCCTGCGATGTGCAGGAAATGACGCCTTTACACTGTGCCGCAATGTTCGATCATCCTGAAATTGTTAAGTATCTTGTGAATGAAGGATCTGATCTGAATCCTTTAGATAAGGAAAAAAGGTCTCCCCTACTTTTGTCTGCATCACGGGGTGGTTGGAGGACTGTTCATACATTTGTAAGTTAATTTTATCCTTACTACTCAATAAAACTTAATGTAGAAATGAACCGCTTGCTTTTTTGGTTGAATGGTCAACCAAAAAATCAAACGAATTGGAAAAGTCTATTCTCATAGAATGGGAATAATATGTAAACTGAAGTGCTAAATTTATTTAATTTCTTTTTGTTAATCAAAATAATACAAATCTTATAAATACTTAAAATTTACAATATATTAAAATTAAACATATCCTATTATTTAGATTCTTCTCGGTGCGAATATGGAACTGAAAGACATAAATTCTCGGAACGTGCTTCATCACGTTGTAATGAACGGAGGTCGTCTAGAAGATTTTGCAACAACTTGCAAAGTATATTTTTTGAATCATTTTAATCTTGTAGAAATATATATTCCCTAAAACTTATTATGTTTATAACAAATTCAAATTCTGTGTAGAGAAATTATAAAAAGGGCTTATTATTAAATTATACCGAATAAGTTATCCATCAAAACTTTTAAACTTTATCACAGAATAAGTTTAGCTCACAACCCTTTCAAGTAAGTGTCCATTTAGTCGAGAAACTTTTACTTCTTTCAAGACCAACTTCAAAAAACCTAGACACTATCATATCTCTAGATATTTTATACAAAATTAATATTTACATATAATCAAATTTTATATTATATTCCAGAATCGATGCGAAAAAAGTCTTTCGCAATTACTAAATGAAAAAGACAATAACGGTTGTTCACCACTACATTATGCCAGTCGAGAAGGCCACATACGGTCCTTAGAAAATCTCATCAAGCTCGGTGCCTGTATCAATCTCAAAAACAATAATAACGAGAGTCCACTGCACTTTGCTGCGAGGTTTGTAATAAAAGTTGCTAGCATCTTATTTTGTTAGGGACATTGAAGGAACACAATAAATAAAGTAATTACTTTTAATTACAGATATGGGCGATATCACACAGCGTGCCAGTTATTAGATTCTGATAAGGGAACTTTTATCATAAATGAAAGCGATGGGGAAGGACTTACACCATTACATATCGCATCACGGGAAGGTCATACGAGAGTAGTACAATTGTTACTCAACCGAGGAGCTTTGCTGCATAGAGATCACAATGGACGCAACCCACTTCATTTAGCAGCAATGAGTGGATATACACAGACCGTTGAACTTTTGCATTCAGTTCACTCACATTTGCTTGATCAGACTGATAAAGATGGAGTTAGTAGTTCATCTCAAAATAATTTATTGTCTTTCATTTTAAGATAATGATGTAGTCTTTTGAATGTAGTTCATAATTATATATATATTAATTGAAAAATATCTAAGTATTTATATATTTTTAAAAAACTATCTTCCAGAATACACCACTTCACTTAGCCACAATGGAGAATAAGCCTAATTCTATAGCACTGCTGCTATCTATGGGCTGTCAGTTAAGTTACAACTCATTGGAAATGAGTGCTATCGACTATGCAATTCATTACAAATTCCCAGAGGCTGCTTTAGCAATGGTGACACATGAAGAACGGTATAAAATTAAATTACTCTAAAATTTATCCATATTGAATAAATTGAATTTGTATATATTGATATGTTTGTATTTGTAGAGTGTGTATGGCTAGATAGATACGTTATGTCCAAACTAGTATAAAATATGAAATGATTATAAAATTTCAGAGCTAAGGAAGTTATGGCTTTACGGTCAGATCGTCACCCTTGTGTCACTCTCGCACTGATAGCCTATATGCCGCGAGTGTTTGAAGCAGTTCAAGATAAGTGTATTACAAAAGCTAACTGTAAAAAGGATTCTAAAAGTTTCTATGTAAGTCAAGTTGGTTAGAATACATTATTTACTCATAGTAATATGATTAACCCATTTTAAAACAAAGTTAAAGTAGCTGAGGCATTCTTGCGACATGTAAGACTTTAGTAGTTAACAAATAGAAGAGTATCGAAAATGTATACAAGATCATATCTTCTTAGGTTATTGTAAGAGTTGAGTTTTCAAATATATGCATGAACCAAAATATATTTTTTCTCATTTTGGTACTATAGAAACTGAAATAATATTTTAATGATTTTATTTGTAATAATCCGTAACGTGTAAGTTTTAAGAATATTTATTATATGATTTTTTGAGTTTAATATATTTTGATAAGTTTTATCCTACGAAAAAAATTGTTGCTAGTTTTAGGGCAATATTTTTTAAAAAATAATATTTTTATACCTGCGTAATACTATGATGCAGATAAAACAAGCAATACACAACTTCTAAGCAACTCGTTGGACAAAAAGCATTAATGGAAATAGTACTTTTATGTTTTTTATATATTTTTTTCAATTAAGTAATTAATTTATAAATAATTATATGTCAATTTAATACTATTTATAAAATTTAGATCAAGTACAGCTTCGAAACGCTATGTCCACAAACGATAAACGATGACTGCAACAGAATAGCAGATACTGCATTGAAATCTCAGAAAAATCCTCTGTCTGCGTTAAACGTAAGTTATAAAATTATTCAATGTAATTCATTTATTTTTGCTTCGTCGCAGATTAAGTATTCTTTCAAATTCTACCAACACTCGAGGCTTGAGATAGATGCGCTGAGACAGGCGCTGAACGACCCAAAGTTTCGACCAGAACCGTTGAGTGTTATCAACGTGAGTGAAGTGTCACTATAGCACAATGACGCTTCGCACTTCTGTCCATATTGTTTGTTATTGTTCTTTACCGATTTTGCTGAACCAAATAAATCTTTCAATAGTAATATGAATCTAAAGAAAAGTAAGGCGTTTTTCTTTACCCAAAACAATTACGAAGTTTTGGCTCAGTGAAGTCAAATTTGGTGACTGGGTAGTGTCTGAAAAGTAATGAAATCATATGACGGAAACTGAAGTTTTGTAAACGTTTAATTAAATAATGATTATTAAAACAATATATGTTATTATTAAATAAGTGTTTTAAAAAATGGTTTTTGTAAGTATTATGACTTCATTACAGTACTTTTAACTCTGATATAACAGAAATTATGTCTAAAATGTATATAATTATGTCAAGCTTATATACGATGCAGTAATGTTTTAAAAAATCACCTTGTATCTATCACTGGTGCGGGTTAAACTTTTTCACTCTCCATTTTTTTGTTCTCTTATTTCATTCTTCTAAGTCAGTAATATCGTGTTATAATAACAAGTGGTGTTGTTTTTTATTTTCAGGCAATGGTAGCTCACGGTCGCGTTGAATTGTTAGCTCATCCCTTGAGCCAAAAGTATCTTCAAATGAAATGGAATTCTTATGGAAAATATGTCCACCTGTTGAATCTCTTAATATACTGCATTATTCTTCTCTTAGTGACGCTTTATATTTATTTTTTGATGACCAAAATGCCTAAGAATATGAACATAGCAGGCGATCTTAGCAAAAATAGCTCTAATGAGACTGCATATGAATTTAGTTCTCTAATCAATGATACTGCTACTGCTGGCTTCAAGCAAGGTATATTCTCGTGCGATAAAAAACCTGTTAAGTAATTCAATTACTTAGTCTAACTACGAATCATCATTTTATTAAGAATATTATTTTAATTTATAGGTCCAGACTTCGAAATTTATGCAAGTGCAGGAATTATATTAACTTATAACTTAATTTGTGTAATACGCGAAATGTACAATATAAAGGAACAAAAATGGCATTATATTGTTGACCTCTCGAATTTTGTTTCCTGGATGCTGTACGTCAGTTCAACACTCATGACTTTGCCATCTATATACCCGATTTATCAAAATATTCAGGTGCATTTTCTATTATTGATACAATTTCACCATAAATGTTATAGACTAACTGCAGATTTACAATATATGTGTTAATTTCAGTCGTCAGCTGCTTCAATTACCGCCTTTTTAGCATGGTTCAAACTGCTGCTACTGCTTCAACGCTTCGATCAAGTTGGGATCTACGTGGTTATGTTTTTGGAGATACTACAAACACTTATTAAAGTTTTGATGGTGTTTTCAATACTAATAATAGCATTCGGACTAGCCTTCTTCGTCCTTTTATCTAATGTTGGTGTTATCTAGATTATATTAATCAGCAAATTAATATCTGCTTTATTAAGGAAAAACACATGCAACTAAAAAATTATTGTGACATAAAATGTTTATTAAATCATTTGAAAAATTCTAATCAAATCATAATAAGGCAGATAAAATTAGGATAAGAAATGTGTTCATTTATTTAATCTTTGAAAGCGAGGTTCATGACGTCATGAAAAATTACTTTTAATACAATGTGAATTGGACGCACAGCGAATATTTACAGCTTATGCGAAATTATATATCAGAGAAGTGACAATTTAGTAGTGTTTAGTAAAGATTAGATGTTAACGTATATTTCCTGCAGGGCCAGCATTTATCGTTCAGCAGCATACCGATGTCATTGATGAGAACATTCACGATGATGTTGGGAGAGATTGACTTTGTCGGTACCTACGTCCAACCCTACTATAAAACAGAAATAGACGTACTCTTACCTTTCCCTATTCCCACTTTCTTTATCCTTGGCCTGTTTATGGTGTTCATGCCCATCCTGTTGATGAACTTACTTATTGGTTTGGCTGTCGGAGACATTGAGAGCGTCAGGCGAAATGCACAACTAAAACGCTTGGCTATGCAAGTAAGACAGTCTTTAGTCCGTATCTGATTGTTTATTTCCTTTACTAAATAATATATACTATTGTTCTTTGTAGGTAGTTTTACATACAGAACTAGAACGAAAATTGCCAGCTTGTATTTTGGAAAATGTTGACAAAGATGAGTTGATTGAATATCCAAACAACAACAAATGCAAACTCGGTTTTCTTGACTTAATTCTACGGAAATGGTTCTGCAATCCATTCACTGACGACGGTTTGTGTTATATTTTTGTTCCTTTTAAAAAAAATTACTCATCACTTATGCTAAATACTATAATACTGTTATTCAATTTCTATAAATTGAATTGAATATGATTAAATAAATAGCTGCTAGAATTATTTATATAATTTTAGTCCATTGAAGGGTATTATTTATTTTGAATAAATTTAGTTAACTTTATACAATATAAGTGTAGCTGAATCTGTTTCACAAGCCGTCGGTCTTGACCTGGTTCTGGAGAGTAAAGAAGATTACATGACTGCTGAAATGGACAAGCAGAAGAGACGTTTACGCGAAATGTCACAATTACTTGAACAACAGCACACCCTTATTCGTCTCATTGTGCAGGTAAAATATATTTCTGGAATTGTAATAAGTAACTAACATTTGCGAGAACATAATGCATTTCTCTTTTTTTTTTCTCAATATGGTTGTCTCTATGAGTAGACAAAGCTTCTATTAAACTTGCGTTTTTACAGTGTTAACAGATATTAGCAGATTCTCTTGTCGAGGTATTGATAATAATTAATCATTAATTTTTAGTACAAGTCTTAAATATTTTTTCTGACTAAAAGATGTTTCAACATAAAGATTTTTAAATTACTTATCATTTTTAATTACCTTAATATACAATACGAATCCTTTGATATTAATCTTATAACTATAACCTTGATTATTATGAAACTTATTTAAATCTACGTATAAATGTATGGGTGTACGTTTATTGGAATATGTCAGTAATCTATCTTTAAGGCGATATTTTTATCAAAATATTATAAGGCTAATTATATATTTGGAGATATAAATATTTAATTATAGTTTTACTTATAAACATCATTAGAGGAAAAAGGCGTGTAATTATCACAAACATTGAATGAATGATATAGGATTTTCGTTGTCTAGAAGTTTTTTGTTTTAATAATACAGAAAATGGAAATAAAAACTGAAGCTGATGATGTTGACGAAGGGGTTTCTCCGGCGGAAACGCGTGTTGTACCGAGGTGGAGTACACCACGCATCAGAAAACAACTTCACACCGCTGCATCATTTAATAAAGGGATCTAAATCTTATTATACTTTAAAGTTACTAGATGGAACTTATTGTGTCAGACTTATTGTCAGATTTAGAACATTAATTTGTTTATACTATGACCTTGTTTACACTTGGGTACACAGTTTGATACATGTCCTTTACAACTTTTAAAAACATATATAATACAGAAAAAAGTTTATAAGGACACATTTGTAAGTGTATACGTTGTAAAGAAGAATTTTATTAACATATTCACATCAGCCTTTTTAAATGAAATATTTATACACCCCTTTTTTGAAATAAAAGTTATAATGTATGATACATGAAAAGTTTTGATAAGAAAATGAAGGGTATAAATTTAAATAATATGTATTTTTAAAAGTAATATAAGATTTGTGTTTACTATCAGTTGCTTCTATGTGAAACATAAAAAAACTATAGATATTAAGGAAGGAAACAGTCAAACGTAAAGTAAGAGATAAATATTAAGCAATTATACTTAAAATATCTTCAATTTCATTTTATAAATATAAAATTTAAAGACAACTATATTACTCGAAAACCAAAATTTTACAAAGCAGGAATTGTTAAAGTAATAAGAACTTTTAACGAAGTCAGGATTGTAAGTGTCATTTGGAGGGTGCCTTTTAAGAATGATTGTATTTTTGGAGTGATCCATTTAAGAGTATTTTTGTTAAAAGGCAATGTGTTATATAGAATGTAACTAGTATATGTGATGTAACTTTATAAGAACATTTTTATGAATCAAGCTTCGTCTAAAAAAAAGTTAAATGCTTCAACTTTAAAATTTAGAAAAAATAACCAAAATTTAAAATAAGTTCTTGTTAGGAAATTTATAACAAACCCTAATTTAAAGAACACACTTACATTTTATGTATTTTAATTGTTAGCAATAAGAAAACATTTTTAAAAGTGTTACTTCTATGGATTTAAATATAATTATAGTAATTCTGCTTCTATTCTATCAATGTTATGCTTTTAGTCAATGTCATTTTAAGGGAGGTCATCGTATTTTGTTCAATTCAATTTATCAGTGTTAAAATATTATTATTATGTATACCATATTTTATGTGTTTATAAATGTTGAGTAAAAACAATTCACATGAAATATTTGTCTTAATTTAGCGATTCCTTTTAATTATTATAAATCATAATATACATTAAATTACAACTATTAAACCATATTATTTACAGAATTTCATTCAAGAAAGCGATTCTTGAATTCGACTTATTGTTTACTAGTATATTGTGTTCTGTTCTGTTTCGATGACGTAGTTACTTAAGAAATCGTTAATAAGTCAAAACTCACTAATTGTTTTTTTTAAATTGATATTTATGACGTTATGACGGTTAATATAATTAATTAATTCAGTCTGACATTTAAGTTAGTCAATACTTTCTCTGTACGATTTTCTAAAATAAAAATCTTTGAGCATTAATATAAAGTTATTTCTGAAAATTCTTACTATATTTAAAATCGTCAGAAAAAGGACAAAAACCAAAATGTAAATACAATTAATTATAACGGTTATGGAGATTATTGGTCTTGACAGCGTCGCCAGGGAATGTAAGTTGTCCGAATATATCCTATTACCCTTGACATTCAAACCCAGTGTATTCGGGAAGTACGGTATCCCCTAGGTTGCTTGTAAATGCTCCTGGAGACCCATAGTGCATATAAAAGTTAATGTGCACGAAACCGGACTCGAGCTGACGTGTTATTATTTATATCCACTTAAAAAACATATTATCTGATTTATAATTACACCACGGATTCTGCGCTCTTTCAGGCACTTATGATTCAGTATAATTAAAAAAGTATGATGTTAACTACATAATAATTGAGTATTCCTTTTAGAAATATTTTAAATGCCTTTGTTTGTCATTGTAATACTAAACTGTTAAACTTAATTTTCCGTGAAAACAACTTGTTTTCATTAAAACAAGTTCACTTAGAAAGCAATTGGGATTTACTACTGATATTGGTTCATTTTTATAATAAAATTTGTGAGGTGTACCTTTATTTATTAACCAAACTCACAAAAAATCTAAATATTTATTGGTATTTTTACCAAAATAAGACTAGGCAAGTCTGAATATTTCGGATACTAACTATTAGGGTAAATAATAATAATTAATTGGCTATTTTTCTAAAATCCTGCTGTTATATTTATTGCCTATTAAATTAGATATATTGTAGCATACAATTTTAAAAGGCCACATTTACTTTTACATCACAAACACCCTGAAATAGTCGCAACGTACAAATATGTATATGTGAGCAGCCAGTTTTCTATAACGTTATAATTATATTATTGTTATAAATTTCCATTGTCGTCTCAACTTAAAAGAAAAGGACAGCTGTGTTCAAGTTATATCCTCAGATTTTTTTCAGTAAAGAACTTAGTGTGTGTTTGATAAAAATAACCATTACATACGTACATAATTATATGAAATATTGAATTTAAAAGAACTGAATAAACTAGTTCTTATAATCATAAACCAAATAAAAATTTTGAGCTTGTTACCTAATAATATTAAAGCAAGACATTTTATAATTTAGAGCATATAGTTTTCATATATATTTTTTTAATAATAAATCGAAAATTTAACATAAAACCATAAATGAATGGAAAAAAAACAAACTGACACTTAGCAACAAATAAATATTTTTAATTAAGATCAAATATGTCCCTTAGCTTGTTTTAACTGATATACAAATATCATAGGAGAAATAAACTTTAAATCGAAATGCTTACTTCCTACCTAAAAAGTTGTTAGCGCTGGTAAATAAATCACATGGGAAAATAACTATTTAGTATGAACAATTTTTAACAGGTGCCCTTTCACAATACAATATATATAAAAAGTAATTTACACTTTCATTGATAAAAGATAATATTTGGCTAAATTACCTGCGTTCCAATCTACTGGTTGCACACGCATGTGATAAATGCTTGCGAAAATATTACAATAAAAAGGGCATTGTCGCTATACGATAATAAGAGAAACTAACAATTGTTCCCCTTCCCTTTAGAATATTATATATTAAAATGTAAACCCATTTATTTTTCAAATTTGCACAGTTATACCAATACTCTGGTTCTAAAATGGAGAAAATATGTGTAATTTTATTTATATTTATATTCATGTTTAACTTTTGTGCTTCAATCATGTCTGATGACAGCTCAGAAATAGGTTTAAAAAGTGTTGTGAATTCAAAATTGGATACAAAACCTCGTTCTGATAGAAGTATGAATTTCAAGATGCTTCAGGGTCTTTATTACAAGCCTGAACCGAGGCCATGGTTGCCAATAAAAAAAGAAAGTAGGTGTAAGTACATTTTCTTCTCAAAGGGTTTTAGGGTAAATCAGTTTATAAATATATAATATTTTGAATAACAAATTAAAAAACTGAAACGTTTAACAAGATAAAGAGGATGGTGGAAACCGAATTACTTAAAGAACGCAAGCAAATCATCTCTCATCCAGCTATGTATATGCCTTTAATAGTCAATATATAGTAAAATGACTAATAAAGTAATGACTTTAAGTATGTATTAATGAGATCTCGATTTTCGCGAGTATTCATTTAAATGAAACTAATATTTTCGGATTTACTACGTGTTTTTTTTTATTTTTGACTATAAACTACATACCCCCGACGTTTTGGCTACTTTACAGCAACCATGCCATCTCGTCTGCCCGTGACCACGGTTGCTGTAAAGTAGCCGAAACGTCGGGAGTATGTAGTTTATAGTCAAAAATAAAATAACCCGTAGTAATCCCGAAAATATTCGTGTCATTAAAATTAAGAATGTATTATTAAGAAATAATTTTCAGTCCTATCTCTCTTTACTGTGGTGACCTTTCCTAACGGTGGCTGCACGGGTGCATCTGGAGATAATGGCACATGTATGACGGCACGAGAGTGCTCTTCAAGAGGTGGCTCCGCTAATGGTTATTGCGCTAACGGCTTTGGTCTTTGCTGTGTTTGTTAGTATACCTTTATATTTATAATGGAGTATCTTAAATTTTTTTTTCATGTTTTAGAAATTTTAGATCTGTCGATTCTATTTTTGTATATTTCTTATTTATATTATTAATTAAAAAAATAATACCTCCTTTTAAAAGTTTAACTATTTCCTACATAGTTTAATTCCTTCATCCTCTTTTTACCATCCGACGACAAATAGCGTATGGCTTTTCTCAATTATATGATTGTAAATTTACTCGCATCCGGATGAAGCGATACACTCCGTCCTACCACATGCGTACAACAAAGGATTGGAACAATTTGCCAGCGTTTATGTTTCCTTCCAATTATAATTTGAATGTATTTAAGGCTCGAGCGAATAGACTGTATTTAAGATAGACGAAGAGTTTACTTCCAAATTATTGTTTAAAAAATATATGTATTTTAAGTAAATTGCAAGGCATCGTGTAAATGTTTACGTCATAATTTACAATTTAATTAATAAATTAACTTACCGAATCCTCAAATGATATTGACTTTCAGTACCTCAGACCGTTATAATAATCTAAAATGTTTCAGTCATGACGTCATGTGGTAGTACAACTTCGGAAAATGGCACGTACTTTATAAACTCAGGATATCCTTCGTGGTATGACGGTACGGGTTCCTGTGAGCTAACCGTCATCAAATCTCATCCCGATGTTTGTCAAATAAGGTTTGTCTTCAATTAATATTTGAGTGTCGGTTATTTAGTTGAGGATTTCTGTAAAAGAAAAATTAAAGGGTAAGGCAATTGCACTTTCTCCCTCTGTTTTATTTTTCAAGAATTTATTTTAAGAGAAAACAAAAGTATTTAACTACTGTCGCTAGCCTTTGCTGAGCAATAACTGTGTATAATAGAATATAAAGTGTTTTATAGGTTAATACATTTTGCCTACTTACAAAAATAATTAAATTGTCGATTTAGATCAAGCTACTTGGGAAAGACTTATACAAACATTTTATGGACAAATAAGCTAAAACTCAATAAGTTATTAATTAAAAAGTATATTATGTATGATTTATTTTATATCTATATCATATAAATATATAATAATGTAAAATTTTGTTCAGGTTGGATTTTGACAGATTTACCATTTCGGGTCCTGAAAGAATGAACAATGTTTGTAACCAAGATCAGTTCATTGTATCAGGTGGAAACCCTATTCCTGCAATCTGCGGATTTAACCAAGGAAATCACAGTTGAGTGTAGCTTTGACAAATAATGTGCTTTAAAGATTTCACAAATACTTTATTTATAAAAAAAGCTTGTGGGTATAGAATCGTTAATTGTGAACGAAATGTACATGGCAACAAAACCATAGCAATGTATTTAATTCTTTACCTTATGTAGGCTTAAGAATTCTTTATGGGTTTATCTTCAAGTTTAGGATTAATAACGATATCCGTCAAAATAAAATGACAGATTTTTCGATAAGTAAGCTCATAATTTATATTTCTGTAATTAGCTTTCTTGTCAGAATGTTGAGATCCTTTCAAATTGAAATATTCTTAAAATTTCAAAAAATTGCCGTTTCCATTAACTCCCCTACAAAATTTAATGTATTTAAAGCATTATGAAAAGTTTAAGTAAATAACCCACTTTTCTTTTCTCAGTGTATATCGACGCAGGTATTGGAACTACAAATCCAGTCAAACTAACTTTTGTAACAAGTGGTAATTCGTTTGAAAGAATATGGAAAGTAAAAGTCACGCAAATTCCATGTAGCACTATTTACAAAGGTAACATGTATAAAGACTTGATATCCCTTTGAGTACTTTTGCTGTTAGTAACAATTTTAACCATGGTTTCTGCTTAACATAATATTTGATTTTCTTTTAGCGGATGTGGGTTGCTTACAATATTTTACCGGGGTTTCTGGACAAATCCGTTCCTTTAATTATGACCCGGCATCGGGACTGCAACTCAGTAACCAAGATTATGGTATTTGTATTAGAATGGAAAGAAATTTTTGTGGAATACAGTACACGGCTTGTCTAGATTCAGGTAACAATTCAAAATTAAAAATTTAAAACCAATTACTTGTTTAAAAAAAAAAAACAGGCAAATATTATATATTCCGGAAAAATATTGTAATATAAATTGGAATGTACGACAAATTACCATTAAATATTTTTAATTAAAGCTGCCACTTTTGATCATGTTTGTTATCTGACAAGCTTGATTGAAATATTCCATTGTTATTCCGTTGTGGTTTTTATATTTCTCTTAAATTTTGAGGAACTCATGATAAGAAAATTTTTAAATTCAAACATTACAAAACATATTACCAAATATTTAGAAAAAATATTATCATTAATATTTTAGTATTTTATATTAATAGTGGTTTTCATATAAAATACTTAAATTTTAAATAGATTTTTCAAAATATTTATTAAGTATCATTTTATTGTATAGCTAACAATCGGTCTCGAGCGTTCACTCTTGGTGGGAACAGTAACAATCCGGTAAATTCAATGATTGGCTCGGGTGCTGGTCCCAACAATTGTGCCAATGATTGGTTGTTAATTCCTTGTGCTTCCAATGTTGGTCGTGTCGCACCCGCACAAGCCTTGTGCACAGACAGAATATGTGGAGGAACATTTTCAGCTGACCTATCAATGCAGTCTTCATCAGTTCTAAGTATGTATTGAACGTTAAAAACTAATTAGTTTTACACAAAATAGTTCTACAACTAAAATAGATATTTCAAATATTTTTTGTTTGATTAATTATTATAGATTTTAGGATAATTTACATATGTCATTATATCCTGCAATTTATATAAACAAAAGAAGTTTGATTAATTTCAAATTAAACTTTGAATAGTTGTAGAGTGTAATTACATATGATGTCATTACATAATTTCTGTTATAGAAACTACAAAAATAACAAAAGCTCTAACAAGTATAACTGTAATTACATTTTTGATTAATTAACCTATAAAAATAAATTTCATTTGTAATTAATTATACACATTCTATTCTCCTGGCTACATTGCCATTATTTTAACAAAATCCCTAATGATTTTATTAATCAACCTTGACATCACTATTTATAATTACATGAAACAAACTAATTTTTGTTTATTATTTCAACTTTAATGTTAATTGTAAAAGTTTTGATTCCCAAGCGATTTTATTTTTGAATTACATTTATAGTATTATTATTTTATTTATTATGTCATACAAATAATATGATTAGTAACATGATATAACTATTTATATACCAGTGAAAAGGCAATATAAAAATAGAACATACCTCATTTTTATTAACTTTATACAGTTTTGTTATCCTCTCCAATCGTTGCCATGTATGTTAGGATAGCATAAAAGTTACGAATGCTCTGAATATCCTTATCAGCAACACCGCTTAGACGCTATTCAAACTATGGCGTCGTATGGAACATGAAATCTGTTTAACGTGTGCAGAACTTAATGCTTATCTATTAACTAATGTTAAAACATTTTAAGGTACAGTGAAACCCTTCCGTCTCTGGTTTCACACAGACAATGTGGAAGCTCCAGTAGATATAGACAATAGAGGATTCTGCCTAAATTATGTTCAACAACCCTGCACTAATAATGTATTTTAGAATTGATATGAGCTTTTAATAAAAATGTAAACATGTAATGCCATATCCGTATTTTATTTATTCTTGACAATCTTTTGCGTAAACGATTTCATTTACCTAAGTAGTAAGTGTGTTAAGAACTACATTACATTAATTGATACCCCGTTCCTATTGTAGTCTGATGGTAAGTAAATTTCCTCGATATATGACTATAGCAGTCTTATTAAACTCCAAAGAATCATAAAATCAATCAATAATATTATACTTTATATGAAAATATATAAAAATGTTTTCTCTTGTGACCCACAAGTTAATAAAGTTTGTGTAACAGGAACCAATTTTTTCTAAAAACTTTTTAGTAACAAAATTCATGCATATCGAAGCATTTTTCAGCAGAGACCAAAAAATTTATTCCAATTTAAATTTCCACATCGTTTGTAGTAACGATATGGCTTTAGAAAAAAAACAAAGAATTCAAAACCATTTGGCTTATTTAATTAGTTTGTGTTATATGTTATTGGAACAAAAACCTTATTTGTTAGTATACAAGACATCAAGTCATATAAAACTATATTTCTTATCAATTAATTATTGTAAACTATTAATACGCTATACTAGAGAAATATCACGTACTTAAATAATATTTTGGTTGGTGTCTAAAGTGTTCATTCCAATAATTGCCTGAAACTAACTGATATATAATATATGTAAGATATTTCTAATTTATTTAGATTGATAAGTAAAGTAATTTGATAGTAAGAAAGTTTAAAGTAAAAGCGTTTATATGCAATAAGTGCCCATCTGTTTGATTAGATCCACTTTAAATTATGTGGTCTTTGTTTAAGACATCGAGTCCTCTTTACAGCCTTTTCGCTGCGCTGCAGACAATTCGTTACATAAATTTACATACATGGAAGATACTCTTAGACGCTTGTATGTAATATCATAATGCAAAACTGTAGGTGTTAAGAGAATGAGGGAAATTTCACTCCTAGAACTTTGGAACGTAAGCATACCTTGTACTACATAATTTGGTATGTTGCGGTCGCTGAAAATGTCAACCCTTCATAGAATATATAGACATATATGTATATATGTGTAAATATATATATATATATATATATATATATATATATATATATATATATATATATATGTATATATATACTTTGCTGAAAGTATATATATATATATATATACTTTCAGCTGCACAAACTATATTTTTAACATTATACTTTTCTTTTCATATTGGATGGCAAGATTTTTATGATCTGAAAATTATGCATACACTTTACGAACCATCAATTTTCAGTCGTTTACATATGATAAATGAAAATCTCGACAGGGTTGCTTTCCTCAGGATGATATAAAAAAGTAATAGTAAACCAGCAAGTAATAATGCATTTATAATAAGAAATTAATACTTAATTTATATTGCAATTACAATTTGACGGCCAAATCCAATACAATAAAAATGAAACAAATTTATAATCAAGGGCATCCAAAAATCCATAATTGCTAATCGGAAATTTTCACTGTAATCTTTGAATCTATATGGATCGTACAGATATATGATTGTATGTCTGCTGGAAAGTATTTTCTTTTTGTCACCTATTTGCAAATAATAAGCATGTCCCCGTTATTATAAGAAATTTATATATTTCATGAAAAAAATGTGACATATTTTTATATTTTATTTCAAAAAAGTTTTTCATGTTTCTTTAGCTACCATAATTGACAAATAAATACTTAAAAACCTATTTAATTATCAATCAAATTTATTTAATCTAATCTTCTATATATATAAAAATGGATTGCTGTTCCTTAGTCTCGCTAAAACTCGAGAACGGCTGAACCGATTTGGCTAATTTTAGTCTTGAAATACTCCTGGAAGTTCAGGGAAGGTTTAAAGGTGAGAAAAATTGGAATAATTGCCGGTTAAACCCTAAAACAGTCCTTTTCTATTTCCCATACAAACGTTTTTTTTTGACATTAGATTTGACAACTAACTAATATGTCAATCATTCTGTTTGATTGAAACAGGAAAAACCTGATTATTTATGGCCTCTAAGTAGGAATAGAGTTCGCCTGGGCAGCTATACCTGCATATATTACTCTTGACCAAACTAACGCGGACGAAGTCGTGGGCAAAAACTAGTATTTGATATAAATATAAACTCATTTAGTTTTCTAAAGATGTAATAAATTTAATAAATCTACAGACTTTATTACCTAAACTAAAAAATTCAATTTTTGAGATCAATAAAGTAAAAATCAAATATCCAACTTGACGTCACCGACATTGAGTACGTCAGCATTAATTTTTTTGTAAACACTTAAAATATTACACAAGTCTTATCTCAGTTTATCACCGATATCAATTATAAAATATATATTTTCCATGTAATCATAACAACTACTGACTATAAATTTCGTTGCTGTTTAATTACCATAATATATAACATAATTAAGCCACTTCATATTACATATTTAATTTTCTCTCTGACCCTAATTACAAAATCCATGCGGACAAAGTCCTGGAAAAAAATGGTATAATAAAGGATCAAACGCTATTATTAACATTTTGAACCAATATATGAGGACTGTATTTGTATATTACATAAAACAAACAAATAAATATACATATATATAAATATAATACAGATGAGTAAGCCACGTTAAAATTATCAAAAATGACTCCACAATTGTATTTGCCAACATCTTTTTTCCACCATACCTACTATTTAGTTGTTTAATCATATTACATAGATATTAAGTATACTACGTTTAAAAGACGTTTAACATTACGGCTCCTATTGTAGTCGCTTAATTATTTTATTGCAATAGAAATAATCTTCTGTCTACTTCTATTTCTCACTTATTTTTCGTATCATAAACTTGAATATATTATACAATGACGCTACGCAGTATCCTTATTAAATATTACATATATATGTGCAATAGTCATTCTTGTATTAGGACTGAAACAGCACTGTTCTTGATTTACATTCATCTTGAGAATGTTTCAGTATCTAAGGGAAGTAGGATCTTACTTAACTTGGTCCATTGTTTTCTCCCTAGTAAAGATATTATCGCTTGCCCAAACTCCGTGTCCGCAGAACAGAATGATATCGCATTGGGTCAAAGATGAAGATACCAACAGAACGTACTTAAAGGTGGTTAAATGTCAGAATAAATCATCTAACACACAGAGATCCTTATTAATTATTTGACAATATTGTGCAAAATAATAAAAAAAAAATTGTAATCTTTACAAACTTGTATACATTTTATTAAATAATTAATATTACTACTTCTGCTTTTTATAAAGGTGATATTCGAGTGAACTTGAAAAACAAACCATATAACTAAATATTAAATGAAATATATAAAACTCGATAAAACTTAATATTTCTTTGTGGTTGAAAATAAATTTATATCAAAACTTTCGTCGCTTGCTTTTTTTATGACTTTCACGTTGTCGTGACGTCTCTTATTCTATGACGCCTACAGCTTCCTGGCAGTAAACTCGCTCCTTTCGACAGGGACGGACGTCTACCAAGCGCAACCCTGGCTCGTTATTCCGACTCCACCACAATGGTAATCGCCGAGTCGACTAGTGAGTGAAAAACCGATATATCTGTATTCATATTTTATATACTCCCTTACACCGCGTTCGGTTCGACATATTTCATTTCCCATATCCATTTTTTATGATACCATAATGTACATTACCGCTCCCCAGGTCAGTCGTCCATCAATTATCCCTTGCGTGTTACCTTTACAGTAATTATTTTAGAAAAACTTATACAGCTAAAAGCTATAAAGACAAATGACTACGTTAATCGAGATGTCTAGCAGACAACAATTGTACCCGATTATCACAGCCAGTAGGATACTTTGTTTCATATAATTCATATAACTATTATCTTTTATTAATATTTTATATCTTTCCCAGCCAACGATGATACCGATTCTGAATCCAAGACATGTGGGAAAATTTTGGTGGTGTTATCCTGGATTTTGGTAATAGTGACCATGCCGTTTTCACTGTTTATATGCTTCAAGGTATTTTCGTTTTTGTATTCTATTATTTACAATTTAAAGGCTATGCGTTTATATTTTTTAGAATATGCTTACATAAAATATTTAAAAATAAGTAAAAAAATATTATACTAAGAAAGCACACAAATTGCCAATCAAAACGATTTAAGTATGTTATATTTTGCTTCGAGTAACGTAATCTTAAAATTAGAAAACTTTATATTCACGAAAGGCCAGGTCATTAACGGAGGTACTTAGATTATACTACATAGAACCTGAGTAGTGTTTATTATTTTAACCGTTTTAAATTGCCTCAAACCGAATATGTCACTGAGATTCTATTGTTTAAATTCGACATTATTTGTCTTACAATGATATACAATATTATAATAATAATCCGTTACCTGCGAATGATTTATTTTTAAACTATTTTATGCAGCGAAAAAAGATTTTTTTTTCGATGTGTATCATTTCAGTGTAATAGATGTTTTTTTTTTGCATTGTTAGCTGCAATCAATAAAGATTCATAAGCAAAAGTATGTTATGTATATATAACACAATTTTGCTCATTTTCACCTTGCTGCAATAAATTCCTCCAGCGTAACTTACAATTGCTTTTTTTGCATTTCCCGAGTTCCCCGCATTACCTCTAGAAATTGAGTCGCTGTTTCATTCATATTCATTTTCATTTCGTTCTACACACAAACATCAAAGAGGAAAGTTCGTAAATAATGTATACTTTCATGATGGCTTCGGAATATTCATGGCCCTGTATATATGGTATCATACAAACATACAGCTAGATATTATAGTAGTATACAGCTCAACTGACCCATACTTGACTTGTAAAGCATTGACTTTAGCGCACTTCTTATTAATAACAACACGGTTCAAAAGCAATTTACATTAAAATTAAAACGCCTTTCAAATCCGTATTTGTATACGTATATACAAATACGGATTTGAAAAATTAATATTTTCATGAAAACCCGTGTTTTCATTTAAAAATCTAAATGTTTTAAAAAATATTGTACCGTAAAGAAAGTTTTCCACGAATATACGAATTTAGTCACAATAAATATTAAAGTGAAATGTAAGCACCGAATTTACTTCATATTTTTTATACACTTTTATCTTTGTCACTTATATAAAATCCTTAAATTTATTTACTTCCTAAAGAACACTACTAACTCTGCAAGTAACTAAACTAAAAGAAGCACAAATAAACCCAAAAGCGACAAATTAAAAGGATGACAGATGAACCGAACATTAATAAAGGTTTCTGTGACTTTTTATTCATGATATATTAGTTTCCATACATTTATAACATATAGAACTTGAACTTCAGTATTAAAATAAAAAATAAATCAGTAATTATACATATATATGTGCACATGAACATATAGGTACCCATCTTAAACAAATACTAAAAAGTAAGTTCACTAAAAACATTCGTTGTTTGTAAAGTAGGTCTACGATCGAGATGTTTACGTGATAACGTCTTATTGGTGATATAAGTTTTTGGGAAGTAAGGAATTAATGAAGATAACAATTTTTTCAAATTTTAAATTACATCTATCGTTTTATTCACACTTTTGATGATAAATTTCGGGTGTATTCGTTTGTATGTATTCATTCGTTTGTATGCCTCTAGAGTGAGAGAGACGGAAGATCGTTCCACTCACTCGAATGCCATGCCTGCCTCCGCTCGTGAGGATTTCGCGTGACAAGTTTCACGGAATGACTGGCAGTGCTCGAGATGAGACGGGAGATCGGTCCGTCTCTCTCTCGTTATACCTGCTATCGCGCTCGTGAGGTTTTGGTGTGACCCAAGTTTCTGAACATGTCACCCGACTAAAACGATTTTAAAGACGTTATCACGTCAAAAATAAAATGCAAGTAGGTAATGTATAAAGAAAATTATTAAGTTACGTAGTGATGTACAAAAAGTTTAGTAAAGCTTGCGAAACAGGAAATTGCAAAAGGCACAGATTCCATTTCTGCTGTGATAAATGAATTTCAGAATTATTTAACTTTTAAAATTAAATTATGGAAATCACTGAAAAATTACGACGCCTATAATAACTTTGTTAGTGTTTTCAAGAAAGATTTTATGAGAAGATTTAATTTTAAATAAAGTGATAAAATATTAAGCAATATACATAATAATAAAATAATTTTCAATTTCTGACAAATAATTTTGTTTTACAACCTGGAAGCGAAAGTAGAAATATTTTCAAGAAATTCACAATTGTAGTTCTACCGTTTTAGTCACATTTTTGACCAAAAAGATAAGTTTACATTTACATGAAAATAGGTCAATAAATGAGCTAAATGTACTCTAAGTGTACCTTTTCTCTTGACCCACATTTGATGGAGAAGTTTGATTTTCATACTAAAGCCCCTAATCGCTGACTGGCAGTTTTAGTAAATCTTATTAGCTATAAGCTATTACCAGAATAAATATTATAATATCTTAATCTCTAAGTATTAGAAAAGTAATGTATGTTCAATACTTGAATAGCACAGGATCAAGAACCAAGATGTTACTATATTTTTTTTCACGGATTCGAAAATATGGCACGTCTATCAATTACGACAATATTTCTTTATTGTATTGAAAGTATCTTTTTGAAAATGAAAAAAATATTTATCAACGACTATAAATAAAATTGTACCAATAACGAAACCAGACTTTCGTCAGAGAAAGGAGATGTCAACAAGTTAATTACGATTGTCTGATCACCGGAAAATGTACTGAAAAACGATGATATATGTAAACACCTTATTATTGCAAAATGACATTTTTGTTATTGCATAATCTTATGAAATCGATACTTATCTAGAGACTCGAAGAAGTATTTTATTGAATTTGAATAAAAATACTGGCGTATTGTACCACAAGCATAAAAAATTAGCAGACGGTTATAAAATGGGATTTGTAAATTCTCGAAAACTGTCATACTGTGTTGATTCTGTCCCAGTTGATATTGCCGCTTCAGTCGTACCTCTTTCAATATCTTGCCACGATTCATTTCATTTCATTATGTGACTTCAGCGACTCGAGAACTCCGCAGACTAGTCTCCTTAACTATCGATTCTCAGCTTTATGAAAATATTTGAAATACATCCTAAGCAAAAATGTAATATTAAACTTAGAGTTTAGTTTCCTTCAGTTTAATATTTATTTTTTCAGTCGATAACTTTCTAAGGCGAATCATATTACTGAAATCAATCTGATATATTACTTAACTATTTATGGAAATCTTTTTTTAGCCTTTTATTTTAAAATATTAACTTAAATTATATCGTTCACTTTGAAAGTATAATTTTATAGTTTGTATTGGTTTTCACATTAGCTGAAGGGTATATTGTTTTTTTTGCAAATACAATAATTTATTGATAAATAATCAACGCAAAATTTTAATATTGTATTTTAATGACAATTCATTTATTGTTTATGACTTTAAATTACATACATCATATGGTTTTAAAATATTATATGAATCAAAATACATACAATACACGATTATTAATCTAAATACACTATTTACACCGATACCATAGTGGGGTAGAAACATAATGTGAATTTTTATACTATTTTGTTTCATATCTATAAAGTCTACAGTAACATCATAAAAGCTTCTCTTTTGCAGAAATTTACGACTACTTTCAAAGGAATTTTGAACGCCTGATCTATATTAATACCAGCACTGGTCCATGAAATTCGCACTTTTGCTGTGAAACTTTTGTTTTATCCCAGCCATTACAAAAACAAACTCGAATTGTTTGCCTTCGCCCATTTTATTGTTAAATATTTTTTCTGTAGTGTAAGCTTTTATTTATTTTGGAATTTTCCTGTTTTTCAAAATCGAATCTCTAAATAAAATACAAATCATTGAAACTACATATGATTTTAATTTCTAAAACTATAGTAAGTCTTATATGCGACGTTTTTGGATCCCTAGAAATGGTTTTATTCTTATCCGGTTGTAGAATCTTTGTGGTAATGTCTCAGTTTAGGTCACTTAAAAAAAACTCTATAACTCGTGGCATAAGTACAAGAGGAATGCCATATTCCAAGATCCAAATTATTCCTTAGTTAAGTTTTGCAATGAAAATTTTTATTTTGCCCACTGCTATCATCAAATTATTCCATTATGATCATATTTGCATATTTACGGGTACTTGTTAATTTTCATAGAGCATCGAATAATAGTAGCTATTACAATTGCCATATGATTAAAGGGAACTAATTTAATATCCTTTTTATAAACTGATGGTTTACTTTAATGTTGCTTTGGAAATATACATATATGCAATATAAGTATATTAGGATATATAGACTAACCAAACGATTTTTTTTCCTTATTTGTAAGTTTCACCAAAAGATTTGAATACAGGTTGTGCAAGAATACGAGAGAGCAGTCATCTTTCGCTTGGGAAGATTACTTTCAGGTGGAGCCAAGGGTCCTGGTGAGTATTATTGAATTTTCTATCGTTTTTATTCCTTAACATCGAACTACGATTTTTCAATATAAAAAGAATTATCTGAAAAAGTGACACATATTTCGTACTAAGTATTTAATTGAGAACACATATTTGTTCTGCGGCTTTCTATATATTTCGTTTGGCGGTTTTATATACTTTGGGTAAATAAATATTTCTAAATTTTTTTCACTGTAGAGTAAATAAAAAATACCCAGGGGAATACTCTGATTAAAAAATTAATTGATTTAATAAACAGAGCTAGAGAAATTGTGTGAAATAAAATATCGAATATAGATACGTGTTTCATGTCGTTGACAATTAGGTACGATGAACTCTGATTGTATAAAACTTAATTGCAGGCATATTCTTCATCCTTCCGTGCATAGATTCGTATGCACGTGTTGATCTCCGTACTCGAACATATGACGTACCACCCCAAGAAGTAAGTGAGAAATATTGGTTGATTAGAAATGCACGCGAAAATCTTAGATATCATTATTGGTAAAAAGATTTAATTTCTAAGTTGTACTTAGACTGAACTCACGAGTATACATTTCAAGAAAAATGTGTTCATCAGGTTAACTAATAGCTTTTATTAATTGTGCTGCTGTTCTTTTGATAACGGTTATTACAAATTAGTGGAAATAGCAGAACGTAAATCTGATAGACATAGTTATTTTTAAATGATTTTCGTATTAAAAACTTTACTTGTATAACCTTAAATTTGTAATTGTGGATATTTTAACATAATTGCAACATACATTCAATTAATATTATTTGCTTTAGGTCGTATTAACAAAATTTGTATAACTTTGTATAACATTGTTTGATGTTAAAAGTATTAGACTCCAGTAAGTAACAAATCAATTATTTATAATAATACATACAACAGCTATTTTATTTCATTGAAACCTTGGTTTGAATTGTATATTTCTTTTCTATCAATTATAAATTTAACGACAATAGCGTTATGTATGTTCCTATCGATTTTATTAAGTGTATTTAAACAGAAGGTTGTTCTCAATTCAATTGTGTTTTCTCTTTTTATATTTTAAAACGGTAATGTTGCCGAATCTCAATCGCTTTTTTTTATTTGTAAGTTAAACTGCTGCGGTATTTCCATGTACATTTTAACGAAATTGGGTCAGTCATTTTGAGAAAATTACTTGTACAACAATATATGCGTCTATAATATTTTTGTCGTTGATTTGTTTAATTAATAGTTATACGATTTAAGTATATTTGCTTCGTATTATACTACATATTACAAAGAAACAAACTTCGACTTCTGAACTATTCAGTAACTAAGTATACTAACTATATAACTAAGTAACAAACAATCAACATTTCATTAATGCTATCAATAAAGTTATTGATATTTTTTTCTTTTAAAATGTATAAATAGTACCCAATAATTAGGGTCGGTCTTTTTACTGACGAATGTTTTGCTTTTATTTTATACTTAATGAAAAAGAAAAACATAAATCTATTTAAAAGGTTATGAAATTTAACTACATGTATACATAACACCATATCGGTTTTTCCGACCAGGTTCTCACCAAGGACTCTGTGACGGTCTCTGTCGACGCCGTTGTTTACTATCGGGTACACAACGCCACCATATCTATTGCCAATGTCGAAAACGCCCACCATTCTACTAGGCTTCTAGCTCAAACCACCCTCCGTAACACAATGGGTACAAGACCGCTTCATGAAATTCTCAGTGAACGTGAGACTATCTCGGGGAATATGCAAATTTCCTTAGACGAAGCAACCGAAGCCTGGGGAATTAAAGTCGAGCGAGTTGAAATGTAAGTACATTATTCTATACATTTGGGAGACTGCTTCATAAGTGCACTGTTAAACTGGGGCAAGTTCGGTTTCAGAACAAAGGTCTTAATGAAATGAATTTTCTTGGCAGACTACTGCATAATTGCAGTAAATGTGGGTATGTAAGTGATGACTATATATGTATATTTATTTAATTTATATTTCATCTATAAGTGTGCAACCAAATATGTCTTCTATAAAATCGATCACAAGTAAACAAAAATTATTTTTGTCTTTTGTCTGAGACTGACGACGTTTGTCAGGTTGTTGTTTAACGTTAATACTCATATAAATTTATTTTACTCCAATTAAAACAACCTCAAATGTGGAAAGGCAAACTAGAAAGGATATGACATAAAGGATTTTTCAAATTGAGTAATTGTAAAGTATTGTAATAACTTAATCACATTAGCAACGGAAGTTAATTTGTTAACATATCTATTACCTTAATATATAAATATCGCAAGAGTTTTATTAAACTACAAACGTACAAAGAAAGCACAAACAATTTATACTCCAAGGTCTTATAAATAAGATATGAGAAGTAAATATTTTTTTTATTATTTAATTTTTTCACGTCCGGTAATCATCATCATCATGTAAGCATTAATTATCATTCAGCATTTATACTAGCAAGCGTGAAACACGTAATCGAATAAGCTTACTTCACAAAAGCGTTACATAATTTTGGTAAATAACTGGTGCTTCTTAGTCTGATGGCTTCTTAAACTAGTGCTGAATACAATGGAACACGTACAAAGAAACACCGTAAAGAAACCAGCTTTCAAATGATGATCAACACATCGCAGTCGGTTGATCGGTTTCAGAGTAACGACGATGCAGACAGACAAACAAATACACATACAGACACAGAGAGACAGCCATCAACTTTAAACTTCAATCTAAAAATTAAAATTAATCACTATTTCATCAACAACAATACAAAGGCATCATTTCAATCAATAATTTTGACGTGATAGTTATGATAAATCTATATTACAACCTGACAAACGTCGTCGTTTGTCGATAAGGATCCTTTATTCATTCGAAAATAGAATGAGTTCCGAATTTAAATTTCTTGGCACTAAAATGAACGAAAGGTAGATTTTAATTTAGAAAAGTACCTATAACTGATAATTACTAAAGTTAATATCGGTCTTTAAATAAATATGAGAAATGAAAATATCACAAATATACACAAAATCAAGCTGTCATAATATTTATCAAATTCAAAATTCTAAACAAATTTCAATGATGAATGTCAATGTAATTCTACAACAACATAGATAATGGCAGAGTTGATTGTGGCTTCGGTAATGGACTAGTATTCAAAACAATCGATATCCACTGTAGTCAATATTATTCGTTATATGGACACAAGCTGTACGTCACATAGGGCAACTATAATTTCTATTTCAACACAACATGTAACTTTAATAAAACTGGATTGCGTGGAATACACTTATTAAATAATTAATTGAAAAAAGTTTGACCATGAATTTATATGGAAAAAAGAATTGTCTATTCAAATTACTTTCTTATGACATCAGTATAACTTTAATAATGAAAATTCAATATCTTTAAAATACTTTGCGTTTCGTTTTGATTTCTTTTTCCTTAAATCTTCAGACTTCTTTATTTAAATCTGGTTATGTTGTTTCAATTCCGTTGCAAAGAACAAAATGCAGACGATCAAAAAGCATTATATAAAGATTTAAGTATATAAAGATCTAAGTATTTAAGTATGACTTTTTCTTTTTTTTTACTTTGTTAAAAAATATTAGTATAACCGAAAGGAGCTGTCATAATGAATAATAAATCATTTAACGACTCTATAAATTCTCAGTAGCATCGGTGAGCCATATAAAAACTGAGGTCACTATATTTTGTCTTTAATAGAGAGAAAGTATTTTAAATAAGATTTCATCTACTTTACATCGTTGTACATATACTCTTAAACGACTAAAATCATTCACTTGTTTAATGTGGACTGGATGCTTAAGCAAGAGGTTTATAATGAATAAAGTAAATAGGTAATACTTGAACTTGCAGAAATACTAGACAATGCAAAACTTGCTTATGTTACATAATCAATGATTTTAGGAATCCTAACATGAATATAAAATTCATGTGATCTGTATAGTATTTGCTTATTACACAAGCTCATATTTCGATCACAAGCCAGTTCGTATTCCCAGTTGACCTATTTCTGCTAAACACATAATAAATAATGGAACATTGGTACACTGTAGCTACATCCGTTTCTAGGTTAAATAAAGACAAAAGCAAATTATTATAACTTCAGCATCGTATTTTATTCATTTAAAATTCCTCAAACTTGCTTTTCAAACTGTCTAAAGCAACGAGTACATGATTTAAATCTAAAGAATATAATTTTTATGAATAATGTATAACATATTATGTCGTGAGGATTATTTATTCCGAAATTAAATTATAATCTTCTTTGATTTCAATACCAATGGCTATAATTTCATACAATAGCAAGGATGTCCGTCTCCCGGTACAACTACAGCGTGCTATGGCTGCTGAGGCAGAGGCAGCACGAGAGGCTCGTGCTAAGGTAATTGCTGCAGAGGGTGAACAGAAGGCTTCACGAGCGCTTCGAGAAGCATCTGAAGTCATAGGTGACAGCCCAGCTGCTCTCCAATTACGTTACTTGCAGGTAATAATTTAGTTTTAAGATTGGTAAGTAATGAAATATAATCGAAAATATATCTGAAGTAAAACAAAAAAAAAATTATAAATGATAATATTATATTACATACTTTTTTATTTAGTTCATTTTTATTCTGAGGCATACAAGAATGGTATGAATAATTACTTAAACTTTTGAAAATTTTTGACAATCCATTTCAGTTTTTTTTTTTGCCAAAATGGGAATAATACTTTATTTTCCGTAAAATTATTTATCTCAACTTTCTACCCTGAAACCTTCTGAAAAAAAATACCACGTCTTACCCTATACCAAGTCTATGTATGTAATGTTAATTTTATTTTATTTTTCAGACCTTAAACACCATATCTGCAGAGAAGAATTCAACTATCGTTTTCCCTCTGCCCATCGACCTATTAACTTATTTCATAAAAGCGAAAGAAGAATACTAAATATCTTAAAATTCTTATATTACACGTCTCAATCGAAAACAGTTGTTCGCATAAGAACAAAACAGATAGGTGTTAGTTAAATGTATAAATACACATATTTATATTTGAAATGTTTAATATCATAGTGATATATTTAAAAACTATTATTGTAGACAAAAGAATTATATGGATTTAATCTAATTATCATATCAATACCATACTTATTCAACTTTGAAGTTATTAACTGATTTATAAATAAATGTTGTATGTTTTATCTAATGGGAGATGTGTTTTAAGATTTATGTGTTTTAAATGAACGGTTCAACAAAAAAAAATTGTCTTTTATAATTGTTTTTTAAATAGTTTAAATATATTGAATTTGATATCTCGTTATAAGTTTAAATGTCGTGGACTGATTTATTACTAAACAAAAATATAATGTTTAATAAAAAATAGGACCTGTAGTAAAATATAAAGCACCATATTATAAAATTCTTAAATTTCGTAGACGAAATAATAAACTTTAGAGACGCACTATGTCAGTCTTATTAATTTCTATTAATATATATTTTGTGGTATACATTTCCTAATCCTTAACATTCGATTAAATATATGTTTAAATGAGACCGGCAACAGAAGGCTTACAGCATACAATTATTTAATACCACATCACATATTGTTAAAAGTTGCATTGTAACAAGTGCACCAATTTTATAATTTTTATAAACACGGAAATATATTATAACAACTTACAACAGAACTAATTCTAATACATATTTATCTTTACAATTAATTTGAAATTTTAAAAATTTAAAGTCTCAAATAAAGGCATCTTAAAAATATTTATTGTATGTTTTAATGTCCTTCGCATTTCCAGAATCAAACAAGAGTTAAGTTTTTGGGTAATATATTTACACAATAAATTTTATATAAACTTAAAAATGAAATGACGTTCTTTTGTCACATGTATTCTTTGTATATTTTAAGCTTCAAAACATATTTTGGTATCTATTCAATATCACGAAAATTAAGACAACCAAGAAATTAAACTTCAAAGAGGGTCAAAATGAGATTTAGTTTCTTAGTGATTGTATTTACCTGACAGAAGTAGAGTATTTAATAAAGGTTTACATATTATACTTACTTACTAACAAACGTATACTCAGGCATACAGAATTACGAATCTTCAATGTAACATATTTATGTTGAACCTAATATTATTTTACTACATTCTTAATAAGAATACTACCAAGACATTATACTTATGAGGTAAATCATAAAGGAACTCCGTCATGATTTCTTTGCATTTGTCTAAATTACACGTGAAAATAAAGAGATTATTAATTTCTTATGAATAAAATATTATATTCTTAATATACACTGTTTGTAGGATAAATAATTAATTAATCTGATATTGACAATTTGTATTCATAAATAAATTTGAAAATATAGAGTTTTAAATTAAAAAAGACCCTGTTTTGTTTTTATCTTAAAATTATACGTTACGGTATTCTTAATAGTTATTCAATAGATACATTTTTAAATTAATAATTCTGCATAAATAAGTACAGTAGTATAATTTATTAAACTAATGCCTAAAAGCTTGAACTTTAATTCTTAGCAAAATTTTACATGCATCTCGAATCACTTGGACATTATTAAAATAGTAATAAAAGAACTGAGTCTCCAGTTATTTTTTTTAAAAAGTGATCGTGTTAGCCAGAATGAAACAAAAGCAAACTCCATTGTTCTAGTATCGATCCGGCGATGATAAATAGCGCCCAACATGGTGTACAGTGCCAAATCGAACTTATCTCACAGAATAACGCTTCCCGGGGAATCAGTGAGGCGAAAGAAAAAAAAACAAAATAAATAATGACACTTTAATATACCACTACCAAACACTTAAAATATAAAAAATTAAGAAAATTAAAGAAATTCTTACAAAAAAAAACTATTACAAATAACGCCTTCTTTTATATTATGAATAATAATATTTTCTTTCTTGTTCATAAACCTTTACATCTAAATCTTTATTTACGTCTCTTAGAACTACTATAATAGCTTCTTACGTCATTGAGGGTCTTTTGTATATTAATTAAAGTTGGAGATTTCGGACGACTATGGCAATATGGAGTGGAAACATCTGAAACTTCCGCAACGTCGGTATCTATTATTTCGTCATTCTTTAACAGCATTCCGATATTTATTCTCAAAAAAGCCCTGTCACAACGGAACAGAAGAAAAATATTTGTCTGATCTATAATTCGTAACGAAAAGAAGTTATTAAGCTTCATAATTTTCATTCTTATCTGAAATGGTTTAAACTCTTGCAACAATTTATGAGCTTTTTCCTTCAAAAAATTATCTAGTTCAATGGCAATCATGTCTTCATTTAGAGGCTTTACTGCTCCAACAGAATCATTCTCTATATATTCCATATTATCAACTTTATCATACGTGTTAATAAAAACACGCTGTAAAACCGGAGGATCGTTTAGTGAATGCCATTTCCATCGACCCAATGGAGCAATATTTTTATCCAGCACTAGGCCCTCGGATTGATTATACTTCAACCTTAAATAATAAGCTATAATAAATTATAAAACCGCAAAATTATTGAAATATCAAGATAAGAAGTAACTTACCTGACATTGCCCTTATGGTCGTATACGACACCATTTCCGAGATAGTCGAAACACGCTAGAATTGTAATGGGCTCATTCTTATAAACATTTACAGCTTCAACGGAACTGTACACAATATAACGCCTTACCATTTTGGCCCCTTTGAAAAGAAAAAACAAATAAAAAATATATTTATTTATATTCAATCAAAAATCTACAATCCGTACGGTCTATTTGTAAATAATAAACGTATGTTATAAAACAAGCATTTGATATCTATGCATATCTAGCTAATATTTTTTGGATCACTACATTTATTTTATTATTTTAAAAAGTATATTCTCCCGTCTTTTCAGTTAATTTGCGGCAAACGTGAGCACGGGCAGACGAGATGTGTTTTATAATTAATTTTTACATGAAGCAAACTTAGTATTAATCAAACTTTTATTTCATAGTCAGAAAATGGCACTTAAATTATTATAAATATTTATTTAGTATCTTTATACCTTTCTCTTTCTGTACATCCATAGCAACATTTCCGTCCTTATAAAACCATCGTCCACTTCCATTGTCATCTATTTCAGCTAACTTTTCTCCAGTATCATAAAATAAGGTTTTACTTTTTTTGAATAAATTGAACCAATCTGCAGATACTGATGCTGGTAACATTTTATAAATGTTCATCTAACGGAAAAAATTATGGAAGGTTATCATAATTGAATTAAATATATATCAATTTATCTAGTTCAATGTCTATTCTATTCAGACAAATCAAACAAAAAGTAATAGTATTATATCTCTTTTACCCGCCGCATTACTTTATTTGTAGGCAATTTTGTCCAACCCTTATCAATGAACTCCCGATTGGATAATTCATATTTAATAATTCCAGTACCAATCTGTGAAAAATGTTGTCATTTATTCAGTAGAATAACGTTTATCTAATACAATCTGTAATAGATCGCCGGGTAAGATTATAGTGTATTTTTAATTTTGTTTCCGCATATTTTTATAAGTATTCTATAAGCAACGCGTACAAAACATCATTATATATTCCGAATTTAAAATCAAATTTATATGTGAGTTTGACATATTAACAGAGTTTAAAACGTAGTTGGTTTTTAGATGTCTGAATCAACAAATAATTGAAGGTATCATAGCGTAACAAATATAAAAACTTCCTCCTGCTTGAAGTTTCTTAAAAAGTACTTAGTAATAAGTTACTTGAGATACTGGCTAACTACTAATGAAAGTTGTGGTGTAGGTATCGTAAATACTTCTCCAACCTTTAAGTAAAAAGCCTATAGTTTGAAATTTCAACCACACGCTTACGTCAAAATACATTTTGGTAAGTTGAAGAAAAAATTTCGGGAAGGTTAAAAAAATCTATTTCTGACATTGTAGTTTCAGTGTAGTTTTTAAATACTGAATATCTCGAAAAAAGAATAGATAAATCGTAGGCTGTTTCTAAAGGTTACTCGATGACACACTAGATGTCGCAAGTGAGAAATTATATTTTTATAGAAGTTATGGCAAAATTTAAATATTACAAAATCATACGAAATAGAGGACGTTTCTAGTTGATTCCTATAATTTCTGAATTTATTAAAATGTCATTTCTATTAGCAATGGATTGACTTAATTACATAACGATTATAATTTTTAAAGTAAGATATTAGCTTGAAGGTAAAACAAAAATAAAGTGTAAAATGATAATAAACAAATCCTAAAAAATGGCTTTGTTTAAAAAATAAATAATATTATTTTAATGAGATTCATTTTCTAAAACAATTGCTGTTAATCAAAGCCCATAAAGTTATACTCACACCATCTTCTACTTTCATTTGCTTTTTATTTTTGTCTTCATAAGCAGATGATACAGATGATTCCTTTATATTTTTTGGTGTAGTCAAATCTATTTTAACATTATATAACATCGGCAGTTGCAAGGATTCTTCAGTATGACGTACATGAGGATCACAGTGTATTATTTTATTTCCTCTGATCACTTCATTAACAGGAATTGAACGGCTATCTTTACATTCCAATATACTTTCAGAATATTGAAAATCGAGATTTTCATCTTTAACTACAGTTTTTTTCTTTAAGACGGGTAAATCTTTTATTTCAGGCAAAGTAGGCACCTTTTCTTTTTTGTCTAGGTTCATATTTTTATTTCTGTCTCTTTCTTTATCTTTCAATAATTCCATCATCATTCGATACTCAGAATCATGCTTTTTTTTATTAACAGGAGTATTGCTATCCTTCCGCTGAGTTTTTCTTTGCTTCTTTTCTTCTTTGTCTTGCGTGTCGGATGGTTCAGCTGTTTTGTTAGACTTAGACGGTGGTGCTTTCAATGTTGATTTCGTCTCCAGACTTTGTTTGGTAGATTTAATAGACTTTGTAGGTTTAATATTATTTTGTTTTTGATTTTCATCCGTGGCCGTTGTAATTTTTGATTTAGTTTCTTTTGCCTTGACCGCTGGCAAAGAAGCCTGCTCTTTTGGAACCGAAATTACACTTAATTTATCCAGATCTTCATCAGTCTTACCTTTTCCAAAATATTTACAAATACATTCGCTTTCTGATGACGAGGAAGAACTTAAATCTAATTCAGGATTATTGTCAAAACTATTTTTAAATTTGGTTACTAAATCTTCTATAACTTTTTTTCTTTCATTTATATCGAGCGTAGCTTCTGATAGACCAAATAACTGTGGAAATTCTTCTATTTTGGGTTGTCTAATTGAAGATGGCGAATTTATTAAGCTTAATAACTTCGAAAACTTTGTCATTGATACATTTTCCAAATAATTATTATGTTTACAAATAACATTTTCTCCAAGTAGAGAAAGGAAACTACTTTGTATCTTTGATATCCATAACCTTAACTTCTCTTCACGATTCATACGCTCAGCGACTTTATTCTGGAGAAATTTTTCTATTATATATTGGCATCTCTGACATTGATGTTTTTGGTTCGAGCGCTTACAATAATCGCACACTCCCATAACTTCGTTTTTATTTATTATTGATGTTTCATCGATAGCATTTCGGATTCGTTGAATAAGCATCTTACATTTAAAGCATTTGGTTCTATATTGGCCTGCAAGAACACTTAAATTTAAAAGTTTTGAATAATCCTTTAGAAATATTTTATACAAATGACGTCTACGAAAATTTTTGTTAATTAAGTCATACATAAAATTTAAAATACTGGTAAAGATCTGGAAACTTAAACAGAGTATTAAGAGTCATGAAAGAAATCTTTACATAAAGTATTTTGACTTTTCTCTTTTACTTACATAGCTCCATAATGTAATCCAATCTTTTAAGGTTCTTATTGCTGGTGTTGTGCAAAATTATGTTATTTAAACTATATTCATCGTACGCCTTTTGTTGCTGCAAGAAATTATATTTCTAAATAAAAATTGTACCTAAGTATATTACTTTAATAAATATTTTAAAAAATTACCTTTGAATCAACGTAATAAACATATATTACTAAACCAGATGTTTTCAAATGGGCAATCTGTTTAAAGTCATCGCCTGATGTGTGTTTACAGATCTTACAACTGATGTCCCTAAACAAAAAAAAAGCACATTATAAAAAAGATATTAATTGTTACTTTTATAAGTTTAATTAGTGTATAAGTAGATTAACTTTATATCCAAATCTCCTTGTAGGACCAATTTAAACGGATAGGTAGTTAATTAAGTACATATAAAGCAATCTAAAACAAAAGCAAAAGCAGTCTACCAATTCGTTCAAGTCCTAAATTTTTGCCTTTTTCGAGTTATAAATACCAAGTATAACTAATATTACATTATTAAAATTTCAGCAACCTCAAAGGTATTTTAATGAATAAAACTTATCTTTAGCGATTCATTGATGAAACCGAAATTAAAACAAGAGGAACAATAATTTAACGTATTTTTATATGTAACTTAAGATCAACTAATAAATATGTAAGGTTTTTAGTTATAAGGATAAATTTATTGTTTCGATTAACATTTTTTTTATATTTCACATCAAATCAATGAAGATTTTTCTTAAATATTCTCTGCTAGAAATGTCCAATTTATTTACCGTCTTTAGTTATATAATTGGAAATCGCTCAGAGACCACAAAAACTTTTGGAAATATTCTTTCAAAATTATTATTATTATTTTATTTATTACAATATAAATAGTAAGTATAACATTTCAGAGTTAGAAAGACTTATTCGTTTATCCGTTTCTAAAATGTATCTCAAGTTCATTCGCACTAAATCTCTCTCCCTCTTTCTCTTTTAATTAGTGGAGTTTTATACTACATCTGGTCAATCCTTCTTGTGGCATGACATCTATATTTGATATACATGACATCTTGTTTGGTTTTTAATTATGATATTAAGCGGTACGATCATCCGTAAAACTTTTTTTTGTGTAATCTTGTACATAACTTAAGTTTTCCTGATAGTTTTTCTGTAACATAATAGGAAACAGCGAACATTTGGTCCATGTTAAGTCTTGTTATATCCTCTTAATTGTCACAAGAAATTATGAAATTATAAAGCAACATCGAATAATGATTACGACTTTTAAATAAACACTATCTGATTAATATCTTATTAAATTTCCTGAGGTGATTAGCATCAAACAATATCGAAAAATCATCGAGACCTAATTATCTGGTCAAATGTAATTTTATTCTTACTATTTTCGTTACATAACTGTCCAACGATCGAACGTCGAACGATCTGGTTTTTCCTTCGACTTTCCCCACATTTATCTCCTAATTTGATCTAAAGCACTTCAAATAAAACTCGCCATTATTAGGCACCGCTAACAGATGACAACAGTAAAAACCAAAAGCAAAAAAAAATTTCTTCATCGCCAAGTACAGGAGTCTCCCGAACAGCGTAGAATATATCAAATCTTTATCTTGTTTCTCCCGATGATATCTTTTCAAATCATCTTTTAGCTTCCATTTGTCAAAACTTCATTAATCGTATCTTTCAATCATAAATAGTTAAGGCAATTACTTATTCGACGAGAAACAAACAAAATATTATATGTTTAAGAAGCCAACGCTGTTCAGCCCCAATTTCCTTAGTCTTAGATTAATTCGTGAGTATTGTCAACTTGCCTCTTTGACAGTGTCACCGAAATCGTTTGCAGCCCGAAGCGGGCGGTGGCTCAGACTAGTTATTTTTTTTAAGCAAATAGTTTTATTTCTAGGCTATGGAAACAAATGAAAACGTTTTTTTTAAATATAGACATTTATGGATTGATGATACAATCAAGTTCATTCAAATCTTCATTTGGACACTTTGTGTATTATCCTTGAACGTTTACGTTAGAAAAGTGACGAAAAAGATAAACATTACGAGACATGTATATCCTAATAACTATACAGTTTTATTCTAACACTTGAAGCCTTGTTGGAGATTTTATATAAAGTTTTAATAAATAACTTATGAAACGCAAAGTATACATTTAAAAAGGCTTAGCAATTATTAAAAGTTCGTAAACGGTTACCAGAAGATAAATCATTTTATGAGGAGGTAAGGGAATTCATTAAATTCATAATACGACGCAAAACACAAAAAAATGAAATCTTATCAATATGCAAAAAAATTATTGGTGATACAAATAAACCTCTTATTCCTACGTAAAAAGAAAAATTGGATTAGTAAATCACTGAAGAGACTTCTGTCCATTAAAAATCCTCAAGGACGTGATATTCATAAATATCAAAAACACAAAAATATATTTTATTAAACAAAATGTTTGTATGAGACTGAAATTTTCATAAAATAGAACTGAAAACAAAAAATGTCTACATATGGATGATAGAGCGGTTTTGTTAATTTCAGGATTTATAAAAATAATGCTGGTTGCATTGAGAATAATGATAAAACCAAAAAGAGGAAGCAGAATAGTGTTCCTTAAGGGCCTCGAATTATGTAAGCGGTTAGTAACGAAAAATAATATGCAGAGAAAAATCTAGAATTATGACAGAATTAGTTGGACCAACCATTTTTTAACCTTAATGTTTAATGGAGGTCTGTTACCCCATTGGTTTTATTTTTAGTCTAATAAGAAATATTTTTTATTTTACTTACATTTCTCTTTTTCGTAAGAACTTCGAGAAAATGAAGTTTATCAAAAAAATTATTACCATAAATGTAGACAAGTCAATATAGTACTTATATACGTCAATTAATCTACAGGAAATATTATTAATGTCGAAAAGTATGTATAGGTATAATTGAAGACAAAAAGAATTAAGTTTAGAATTATTTGTACTGTATTTTCAATGGTATTTTTTGAATTATTACTTCTAAAAAATACTACTTAATAAAAAATCTAATTACAATTTGCCTATTATATGTTGGATACACATTTAATTCCCTTAAAATTAATTATTATTTTTAATATATAAACTTAATTGGAATAACTCCAATTTCAAATTATATATTTGTCTAAATTATTTTTATAACGTCAAATACAATGGGAAATCAAAAAAACATATAATAATTTTTTATGGGTCGTTTTGACTGACATAAATATGAAACAATAATGTCTACTGTTTAGAATAGTGCTGAATATTATATCTGAAAAGTGTCTGATTATAAGTGTACGCAAATTGTGTCTGAGTTATTCACTCACAAACTAATTAGTGATGCTCCATCCTCATAGATGAATCTCTTGAAGCCGGTATAGTGAAAACGATTGCTATACAAAAACCGCAAAAAACGAAAATCGAAAGAAATATTTTTCTCGTCATTCTAAGTATTTTTGTTTTTGTTATAGGTTAGTTTATTTTTTAATATTTATTTTATATCATTACATATGTGTGTATCACTAGTATTTTTTGTTTAAATTTGTTCCACCATCTAGAGCTAACTAATTCATAAAAGTATATATTCTTTAGTCCTGGGCTGTTCGAAGTAGCCACTTGGCGATAAGACAGCCTTAATATGTATTTATAATATTTAGTCATAGGATTCAAAGAATAAATAACAGAGCTGATCTCTGAATGTTTTACTCAGAGAAAATAAACTTCTATAGAACATTTAGCTATAATCCATTGATACCAAATTAATATTATGTCCTTGCGCCCTAAACTTGCTTGGTTGTGTCAGAAATATAATTTTTGCATCCTGATGCTGTAAATGATCCGGTAATATTTCAACCCTGTTCGAAATGTTTTACAATCACTGAGCACTTTGACAAAATGTATGACATAACATCTGATACAGAGATCCTCAATGTAAGCAATGAGTGTACCATTAATGTGTCATAGTATATACGTACCATAATAATCGCAGATACTGTTATAACTATAAACATAAAGCCAGTCTTATTTCAGGTAAGAAAACATTAAATCTTTCTGATAAGGAAACATACATAAATTGTAAATATTTTCCACTAAAAGTCCATTTTTCTTAGGTATATTGAAACTTGATTTAATTAATAAAACAACCTCTACGTTTTTACAAAAATGTCCACCACTAATTTAGATACTACAAGTAGGTACCTATGAAACAGCTTTCAATACATATCTAAATGATTGTCGAAAGTAGACACATTATTTTCAAAAGTCATATACTTAGTGGTAATTAACTTTTGTAAACACTGCGTATTTTTTTACTTCACAACGCAATTAGTTGTGTTCATCATTTAATAATGGACTTTTATTTTTATAGTTTACATTACATAATATAATTATATTGATAACGGTATTGCTAATTAATAAATATATTAAAGGCTGTAGAAATAATGAGAATCATCTGTTATTAGTGATAGTTATGATAAAATATATGTGATATTTACATGGTGCAATTTTTTTTAAATATCTTTTGCTTAAATATTTTAAGTTTAAATATAGCAAATTTGATTCCTTTCGTTTAAATACCAACTACGGAAATAGCAGATAACATATCCTCTAATTCTTTAAACCAGCTTCACGATACAAAGAAAAGGATGATAATATAATATGGTGAAACCCACGGAATGAATACTCTGAATTTCAAGCGCAAGCAGTTTTACTTTTACTAATGGAAACTAAAACTGATCTGTAGGTAGTAATCTAGACCCAGAATTTTCTTGAACAAGAATTATAAAACTCTTGTTCACATATATTAAGTATATTATTATTATTATTATTTTAACGAAAACTTGACGTGACAACGTCTTATAATTCGATGAAGCCTGCTGCACGCACGGAAAAACATTACTCATGCGGCGTTACCTCGCTCTGAGGTGTTCCATTTAAGGCTTGATGTGCAAGCGAGAGCGTGGGTCGGCCGACAAAGAGGGCACAATGGGTCGCGTTCGGCAGCGTTCGACATCTGTCTCTCTCCTACTTAAGTGTTACATAGTTGTATTAATGCGTATAAAATATAAATGTAAAGTGATAAAATTAAAATGTTCTTTTGAAAAATGCAACAGATCTATTGTTATCTCCTTATGACGTTGTCACGTTCAACTATCGTCAGTAAACCGACTTTACAGACACACGTTTTATTTATATTTTTGGGAGCTAACATCAAGACTACGGTATGTTCAATTAAATTAATTACCATATTAGCTTAATAAGTCGATAATAACATTGTTTAAGTTTTATAATTTAATGATTGAGAAGGTTTTCTATTTTATACCGTTAAATATTTAAAGCTTGTCGAGATGAATTTATAAATTGTTACATCGTATTAATGAAGTCGGTCGTAGCTACTATTGATAGAAGAATAATGTGCAAAATGGGTTTCCTTTACATACATAAATGGTTAACGACTATGAAAACGGTAAAAAAGATTAAAATAAAATGCATATATTGTATAATATGAGACACTCTTTATTCTTTTAAAATATTTTTTAAACTGTTACTCCCATAAACAACATACAAAGACAACTGAATATTTACTGCCAAATGCCAATGTCAAACTCATTTTGAACTTACTATTTAGTTTTTAGTATTTTCATAATAAGTCTATTTGTGTATTATATAAAGTAATGGTTTCCTAGATTATTAACTTAGTAAAATATATTTTGCTAAAATGTATATTTTTCAAAATAAAGCATTTTCAAGGTTGATGAAACTTTCCAGTCGATATTGTGTGCCTTTAGGGTATAATTTCCCACAGATATATTGTAACAGGTAATTTTTTTTTAATTATTCACCATTCGAAAAATACTGAAATTGCCATTACAAATATATAAGGGAAGTAAAAGTATTACTCCACTTATTATAAACATTTTAAATCAAAAGACTGATATAGAGAACTAATCTTTTTCAGACCTATTCAATTTCTACATACAAAACATAGCAATACTATGAAAAAAGAGGAAGAAAAGTTTCGGACTTTTATTGTACAAAAATATATAAATTATGTTAAAAACTATACGAAGGTACTAGAAGATAGATTTCCTGCTGCAATGAGAATGTACAGAGTTTTCAGTGTAGGAATTAAAGACTTCTTAAAAGATCTTAAAACATATATTTCACTAAGAATTAAAATCACCAAAAATGGTGGATTTTCAAATATGTCTCGTCAAGAAATAGAACTCTACCAAAAAATGCCTTCAGACATGTGGAGAATAGCTCCAGTTTTAATATTATCAGCAATACCATTTGGAAATTATATCATATTTCCTTTAGCGTGAGTAAATTATAATTTGTTAATTTTTAACCGCTATTTTTATTATCACTGATTGCCAATTTTATAAACATTTCAGATTTTTGAAACCAAAAACTTTATTGTGTTCACATTTTTGGTCAATACAACAAAAGGCTGAATTTTCAGTGCAAGACTTAAAAGATCGTCTTAAACATAATAAACCAGTTTTTCGAGCACTTCAAGCCAAGGTTGACAACCTGCCTGTTGACGAATTAACAGAACGCTGGAAGCATGTTCTTGGCCGCTTAGGTTCCGGTGTTCACCCAACAGTGCAAGAAGTTATATCTTGCAAGGAACTATTTAGTAGAGAACCATATAACTTGTCAAGTCTCTCATATTCTCATATGGTAAATACCACTGAAACAGATTTTAGTGTACACTGACTGATATTACTAGATACTGATCTTCAAATTTAATATTTATGACTTAAGGAAGAAATACTTTGAGTTCAAATTAAAATCCCCAATCACATGTTACACTGAAAAGTGTTTTAAAAAACTGATTTTATTTTTATTTGTATCATTCCTAATCAAGCAATGCTTTATAATACAATACTTATTACATATTAATTGGTGTCCAGTAAATGAAGATTTAAAACTGATGATATTTCAGTAACAAAAAAATAACAGTAGGCAATTTCTTTTACAGGGCCACTTACTTAAGATGCATGGTTGTCGGAAAAGTTTTTTTAGAAGAAATAAACTCAAATATAGAGCATTTATACTTTTACAAATGGACAAAGCCATAACCAGGGAAGGTGGTATAGAAATTTTAGGCACAGAGGTATTACGAAATGCATGCCAAATACGTGGTTTGAATAGCAGTCATCTTACAAATCAAGATATGAAAATTTGGTTACAACAGTGGTTGGAGGTGTCCAAACACATTGACTCTAGTTCATTTTCTTTGCTTCTTCATTGCCCTATATTTTTTGCATACAACCATCCTATGAACTGGGTTCTTATTTATTAGGTAATGGTATTATTATATACCATGAAATGTTTTTAACTAATACACAATTTTTAAATCTTGTTAATTTTCGCTTTTGTATTTTATAACACAAATTTAATGTTGTTAATGTTTGTTCCTGTTAGTTCTATTTCGTTTTTTAAGACTTTCTGCACATTTATATTACTACAAAAGATATAATATGTTTTATTACTTGAATGTAATTTATTTCACATATGTATATAATAAAAGTGACATTATAATATTGAATATTATTTTTGCGTTTATATTTACAAGGCAACCAAAAAGATTGACATTTCATTTATTTAATATCTAAACCTAGTAATTATACATTATGTCAATTATAATAGTTAGCTGTCAATAAAATGCAAACACACCAGCGGAATAAAAGTGCTATCATTTTGTCAATTTTGTTTATTTTAGCTGAAACTAAAAAACCTTTTACGAAAAGACTTGAGGCTTCCTGGCGTCTGGAATGTGATCTGGGTATTATAACAGATTCTGACTGTCCAATTGATGGTGGCTGGTCGCCTTGGGCACCATGGTCTAAATGTTATGGCGCCTGTGATAGTGTTGGTCACCGAAAGAGATTAAGAGCATGCAACAATCCGACGCCTTCAAAAGATGGTATGCCTTGTAGAGGTTTGGACGAACAGTTGGAATCTTGTTACTTGACGAATTGTTCTGTCAAGGATTTCCGCAATATCGTTGAGGGAGACCCTGCTAGAAAAGAAGCATTACATCAATTAGAAGCGGTTCCTCTATTAATGGAAAGATGTCTGCAGATGGAATGTCCTTTTGAAGCAGTTGACGCTACATTAGCAATTGAAAATACTTGGCAAATAAATTCAGAAACCGTGTGGAATGCACTTCAATGCGTTAAGCATGACATTGGATGTCCTATTGCGGGTGACTGGGGCGCTTGGGGTTCGTGGTCGTCGTGTGGAGCACGGTGTGGTAAAGGTACACGTTGGAGAATGAGACGCTGTGATACACCGCCCCCTTCTCTAGCTCATTTGATTTGCCCAGGAACACCATTACAATACGAACAATGTGAAGGAGATCAGTGTGCGATTGACGGTCAATACGTTGAACAAAGTGGCAGTTGGAGCGAATGGGGTGCCTGGACTGAAAGTTCAGAAAAATGTGGCTATGGAGTTCGCCGTAGAAAAAGGGCTTGTGTCGAAAAGCAACTGGCACTTTCTGCTATAAATTGGGGAACGCATTGCAGAGGACAGTATGACCAATTAGATGTTTACTACAACACAGAATGCGTTTTAGATGGAGGCTGGTCTGGTTGGGGACCATGGGGGCCGTGTTCTCAAACATGTGGCGCTGGCAGACGTTCAAGAACTAGATCCTGTACAAGACCAATACCTTCGGGTAATGGTACCGATTGTGTAGGACCAAAATCTGACATTGGGACATGTCATTTAGCTCCTTGTGAAGTTTTCACACACACTATTTCTTTACTTAATGGAGATTCTTATATGCACTATAACTTCCCACGCAAAAGATCAACCTTCTTTCATTTTTATATCCGTTTCATGGCACTCTCTCCCCATGGCATCATTGTTCGACGTGGAAGTGCTCAAAATCCAAGTGTTCGATTAAGTTTGCAGAAGTGGCATGTTTGTCTAGATGCTAGCGGTTTGTCCAAATCTTGCAGTTTACCTCGTATGTGCTCAACAACAGCAATTGAGCCTGCAACATGGCATTCAATCTTAATGTCTGTAACTAGTCAAGTAGCTATTATAAGATTAAATGACGCCCAAATATCAATGCAGAATTGGTTTCCTTGTAATCCTGAATTAGAAAATGACAAAATGAATATTTTTATTGGAGAAAAGTTTCATGGCGAAGTTCATGAAATTATGCTTAATTTTATTCCACTACATACTGTAATTGAACGGGAACAGCGAATGAGTCAATCAGATTTCTATCCTATTTCAACGTCTAACATGGCCTATGAAAAAGCTAGCCCTGAAGAAGCTTATTTATTAATACAAAACGATCAATATTTACGTTTGCCTTGTTTTAAGGAACAAGATGAATGGCAAATTGAATTGACAATTAAATCTGAAAAAGAGAGCGGTACAATAATTTTTCTCCCAAATAACATAAACGAGAACTGGTTGTATGTAATTTTACAAAATATGAGATTAAAAATAAAATTTGCTCGAAAGGAATTCAAGTCGGAAGCAATTAGTTCTACTGAATTTTTACCTGATCAATGGATGGATATAGTTATAAGTAAGAAAAATGAAACCAATACTATTGTAGTATCAATAAACGCAGGAGAGCGTCTTCACGTACTTTTAGTAGAAGAAACGAAGAAAATAGAAAAATCTCTTATTAATAGCAAACATACATTTCAGGACCAAAATTATAATCACAGTTTCATCAACAATAACAAAATGGTAATGTGCAATGATGAATTTTTTATTGGTGGCATACCGCTTGATATAAAAAATTCTCTATCAGAAGATTTTACGCCATTTACGGGAATAGCAGCCTCAGTAAGGTTAAATAATAATTTGTTAGATTTACATGATTTCAGTATGGAGCGGACCAAAGACGACCTAATTCAACTCTCTTCAAGAACTGCTAGTATTTCAGGATCATATCATGAAACTGAATGGGGTGAATCAAACCAGTTCAATTTAACATGTCTACATGCACGCACAGCAAGTTTACCACACTCAGCCTATTGGCTTTATTGGGATACCCAAATAAAACTCATAAAAAGTAAAAATACACGTTCCGTAGATGATGGAAGAGTTTTACGTTTGTTAGTAACAGCTGAAAAAGACCTTAGGGGATATTATACTTGTAGAGCACATAGTAATAGACGCACAAGAAACATTGTTACATTCGGCGTTTTAGGAAAAATAGAATATAAAAGTTTGAGCCCCGACACTCTAACTGTGATTGCAATTTGCACTACACTATCTTTAGTAATATTTACTTTAGGCTGGCTTATAATAGAAGGATATCACGATCTTCGTAATGGTTACGGATTTTTTAGAGACGCTCATCTGTCCCCCGAAGAGGAAGCGGAAGTCGTTTGTCAATATTTCGATCAAAACATGCACTTACTTGGATCGCAAAGTGAGCTTAATCTAGCTAAAACGAAAGCAAGGCGTAGAGGTAAGCGATTGGCTAGCAAAGCAAGTTTTGGAGCACAGGAGCCAGATAACATGTTGGAAGGAAATAATGCACTAGAAGAATTTACTTCTAGCGATCCCGACGGTTTACCTACTTTACCTGAGGTAAAAAATTCTGGCATAGAATTTTTTCAAAAAATTTATAGATATGAACCTTCCTACGTTAGTTCTCCCCGCCATGGCTCTCTTACAACTCGAACAAAACTATCTTCAACCTCGTCTTTAGACTCGCTTGCAAAAGTGTTAGCTTCCCCTTCTTATATGCGTAAGGTCGCTAATTTGTCTAAAGATAATAAAAAGATTAAAAACTGCCGTTTTAAGAAAGCTAAAAATGAATCTAATCTGCTAACAATTAAATCTTCAACATTTCTCAATAAATCACCGGCACATAAGGTATTGGAAAAGTTTCAGGAATTAAAGAGCGATGATTAAATACTAGATTTAAGTTTAAGACAAATAATTTACCAGAAAATTCCTACATATAAAGACGGTTACAAAAACGAATAGTCAAAGCCATGGTTTTTTCCTCACAATATTTCAAAAAGTCATGTTAATAGGATTTCATAAATACCTCACCATCGTTATTTCGTGAAACCTATTTTTCTTAATAATATGAAGAACAAATTATATGATTAATAAAAAATATGTAATATTACATTCTTTTAATAAGTATAGTTACTGTCTGATTTATTTATATTATTTAGTTATTTGGTAAACAATAACCTAAGTTGTCTTGTATAAATAAGTATTTGATGTTTAACAGCACTAAACTCTGAAATTAAAAAGATTTTTTTAAAATTTATAATAGAAGTGGTATTGTTATAACATAATTTATTTTAAAATGTAAATGCTTATTCAGAATATAATGTTTAATAGAAATTATAACAAGTTACAATGTAACAACTATATGTCAACAGCCATACATGGCACTGGTATATGTAAAAATATAATAATTCTAATATTACAATTGAATATTCAATCAAGCCTTAAAGACTAATGACGATTATATAATCAGATCCACAAGATGATTCATTTGAATTGACTAGGTATGCGACATCAGATATATAATTAATATCAAAAACAGATGCATCAATATAAACTTGAGTATAAAATGATAACATAATTATTAAATATAGAATTAAGGAAAACTATCTCTGTAAATACAAATGTTCCATCATCCAATGAAGATGCTTCTATTACAGCAATTTAATATTTTTAAAAACAGCAATTAAAGTCTTCATTGTATAAAATAATTAACCATTTCAACTTCTGCAACATGTATTCCAGTTGGAACACTTTATTCTTTTTTAAATAAAATCAAACTTTAACTTTTTCATGTTAATGGCGTAAAAGTGATAATACCATTCCTGCAATACCTCATAAAAAGATACATGTCTTCCCTTAATTATATACTTCACAATAAAATTGTATACTTTAAAATTTGTACTTTAATGGTTTGTGATATTACTTTATGTAAAATTGTTTGAATATTACTAATTTGATTTTATTTTTAAGAAGATAAAGCAGCAAGTATTTAGTAGGATCAACATGCTAACATATAAAAGCCCAACATGATTACTAATATTAATAAATTTAAGCATTTTATATGAAACTTCCTGCTTAAACATCACATCTGTGAAGTGGCATGGCACCATAATATTTATATTAAGAATTAAAGTTTGTGCAATGGCAAGTGTTATTGGAAGTAGATTCTGAGTAATAGTAATTGCTAATCCATATGTTGATGAGTGTTACTTTTCTTAATATCCTTTTTTTGTGATACATTCCTAGCACCAGACTTGTAGTACAGAGCAGTTGATAGTACTCCCAAACTCAGCAGAGTAGATACAAAGAAATTGATTATCAGCTTGATGTCAGCTGAGTCAACATACACTGTGAAAATGCGGGCTGAAACAGAAAAAAATAAAGCTATTTAATACCAAGAAATATATACAATGGAAATTTATTGTTTATCATAACACCTGTTTTAATTACTTCTATTGTTAACAATAATGTTTGCTTTACAAATGACAGAGAAAAAAAAACAATTTAGACACAGAAATAACCTGCTTAATTAAATTTTATACACTTTTTATTTTTAAAATTATTTTATCTAGTTTGTCAAAGTATGATGATTTCATTTCATTTTTAAACATAACAAATGAAATTGTTATATAGAACAAAATTCCAAGTCAAATTAGTCACATTACACACACAATTTTTTCTATTTTAATTAAAACTATGTCGTTAGTAAGACACCTTTCTATTTGTAGAACTATTATTTGGTTCCTAAGAAATGCATATTCACTCTTTCACTCAACTGTAGTTGCTCACTCACTTAGCTTACTCATATTAATGAATGTTCATTTATAAATTTAATTGCACATATGTTATATATCATTGGGGATAATGCAAATTGCAAATCTGAGTAACTACCATTGGATAATACCGTGTAGTGTACAATGTAGATAACACTGGAAGCAGATTATCAGAAGAAAGTTTAAGGTGAATTATTTTCTAAATTAATAACTTTTAAGGGAATTTTTTCACAATCAGTAATTATTTAGTATTTAATTTATTACTAATTTAAAAAAAAATACCTTGAGTTGAGTTAAAAATACCTTAAGTCATTAATTTAGAATATATTTCAGCTTAAACTTTCTTCTGATAATTTGCTTCTAATGTAGATATGCAGAATTATCATTGGATATTTGTGCAGATTTACACTATCCCCGAAGACATGTTTTAGTAAAAAATATAAATTTACCTACCAACATTTGTTAATACTGATATTATCCATGTAGTAGTTGAAACAGCATTTGCATTAGCAGATTTTATTATGCCATACATGTAAGTAATTTTAGCAAACCCACTTATAGGTGTACAGAAGGGCTGAAAAATTATTGGGTAATTTTTATTTCTATTACAATATATGAATGTTATATATTAAAATAATCATAATTAGTAATTATACTAAGCACAACAAAACAAAAAATTAATTTATTAGAAGAATTATAAACATAATGGAAGTGGAACTTACCAAAAAATATGAAAGGATTTCTTTCGGTAAGATTTCGAGAGCAAACCCAATTACTGCAGTAAAATACATCAATGCTCCAAGAGACACAAAAGGTTTTGATATGATGCCATTAAATTTCAGCACATAATAGAGCATTACGTAAACTTGCATCAATATTATTGGGTACTCCAGATAAGTCATTACACTATACTTACTGGTAAAATTATAGAGAGTCACAATGGAAAACCTGAAAACATATTTATTCAACAGTGTTAACAAACATTTCATTTTAAATTCTTCTCTTAGAAATGTGAAACTTAACAGAACTAACTTACCCAACAATTTCCATTAACATTGCCTGTATGTATATACCTTCTCCAGATTGTTTCTTTTTTATGTGCATTATTTGAGGGACTTTGAGAAATAAACATGATGCTATTGTTATTGTACTTAAAGAATTTGCAAACAATTGTACAACGTTAGAATCCATCTCGGTTTGTCTACCTAAAATAAAAAAAAACCGGTTTAGGTGGAGGTTATATTGAGATTGACATACGGTGTCGTAAACACAGTTACATAAACGATCAGGAAAGGAAGCGTTTTAAATAATTGTTGGCAGGGGAGTTGGACGTGGCCCAATCAAACATCAATTTGACATGGAGGTTAGCACATTCATAATCCATATTCACATAAGAAGTTAGAAAGACAAAGCAATTTATTTCCTACACTGCTGTGTATACACGAGTGAAGGAAAGTATTAAAGCATCTATTCTTACTCTATTTTTTTTTATATTTTGAAGCGTTTCATGTATTTTATTTTATGGCATATTTTCGAAAATGTGTTGGAATTTGAAAAACATTTAAATATTCCTTTAAATTCAGCACATGTTGTGTCATAACTCATAACCATGGCATTGACATTTGTAGCAAAAAGTAGTGATTACACATAGATAGTCAGAAAAAACCGTTACTTTGATATAAAAATGTCTTTGTATTAACGATAACAACTTATTTTCAGAAGTTCGTTTTGTTATAAACAGGTAGTAGTAAAAATAATGACAAAACAATAAACAAGATAAAATGTAAAAAAAGTACAAAGTAAACGAAGACTTTTCTAAAGTATTAAAATTTGTGAAATATGTATAATCTTATTGCAAGTATTAAATTCATAAGTAAATATTTTATTATGAGTAAAATATACAAGTTGTTACAAAAAAACATTTTATTTACAATTTTTCTTACTTTTCCTTACTTTTTTAATGTATGTGTAACATTGAAACCTTTTTGTTTCTCCCTTATAATATTTCATAGAATACATAAAACTTGAAAATTTAAAAAAAATTAATATGTTGTTTTTAGATTTCCCTTACAAAAATTTAAAGCTATATTAAATTCACTTTTAACAAAATTAATCACAAAAAAATTTTTAATTGTCAAACCGAACAAGATTTGTTATATTTAATATTAAAATAGTATAATATATTAAAACTATTTGTTAAGTCTAATTGTAACGTATAATTTTATTAAGGCTATTTTGAAACGAATACAAATACTGTTATCAAAACCGATTCGTTTTAAAGTGTGCAGTCACATCACTATACAAAGAACTTATAAGGGTGACAGGTGCTTATATGACGTTTACTTCTGTCACCATTACTAGGGATGTGACGTTACACAATAACTTTGTATCATTATCGATAATTAATCTATACCTATATATAAAAATGAATTGCTGTTTGTTAGTCTCACTAAAACTCGAGAACTTGAAATGTTCGTGGAGGTTCAAGAAAGGTTTAAAAAATAAAAAAAATTAAATCATTTCCAGGAAAACTCTAAAAACAGCCGTTTTCTATTTTCCATACAAACTGGTTTTTTTTAGATTTTTAGATTTGACAACTAACTAATAATGTCAATCATTCTGTCGCCCTTCAGAACACGGAGATTTATGGCTTAAAAGTAAACTCCAAAAGAATTAAAAAAAAATAATTATTTATCGATTGAGGCAGTACGAAGTCTGCCGGGTCAGCTAGTAACGTCATAAAAATTAGAGAATTGTCTAATTGTGGAGTGCGTAAGCGATTAGAGTCAAATTGTATTTTTAAATGAAATGAGACTAGACCGAAACCAAAGCGTAGGTAAAATTTGGACTGGTAATACTTCATTATCGTATATCAAAGTGCCGGAGGGCAAAAGCAAACGCCTTATTTTATTTGTCACACGGGCATGATTTGATGACATTTTAACTTCAAAAAACTACTGAGTATTATGAAGAGATGAACTCCGAAATACTTTAAGATTGTTCTAGATCATAAGCCTAATTAATAAATAATTTAAAAGAGCCTATGACAGTAATAAGGCACTCTGCCATTGGATGTAAGTTAGTAACCCCCCTATTCAAACCATCTGTCAAAGC